AGGGTAGCTAAAAAATTGTAATATTATAAAAGCCAATGTTTCTTTTTATAGTCATTTATGTGTCCTAAGAAATCTATTCCTGTCATTCTGTTAGTTTAAATGGTAATATTTCTAAATTGCTTACAGTTACTGACATTTTTAATTTAAAATTTTGGTCAACTGTGTCTCACTAGGAAGTCACTCACTTACTTTATTCGTATTCATTTCTGGTTCTTTAATTCATGCAACACTTATAGTTCCTTTTTACCATTATAAACCTTGAATAATTTTGCTCTGTAAGTTACTCAATTTTGTGTGGATCAAGATGAGTAACTTTACACCCTTTGGTGCCTGAGTTTCAGTATGGCTCTGCATACCAGACAACCCTAAACCATAATGGTCTATGCTAAGTGCATTGTTTTTGCGTAAGTCTAGAGGTCACTGGGAGCTAGAGTGGAGTCATCATCCTGGTCCAAAGAAGGCTGCCACAGCTCCAAGCCCTGTGCAAAAGAGGAAGGGGAAAACTGAGGACAGCACCTCACTGTCCCTTTTCTTGGGAAAACAAAGGTGTTCCTAGGACACGACTCTCAAGGTTTTGCTTCTCCTGGTCTGAGGCAGGCCAGCTGGCCACTCACAGTTTCAAAAGATGATAAAGAAGTGAGGAAGTAGGCGGTACTGAGAGTAGGGAGGAAGAGAAGCAGTGACACTGCGGGTCGGCTTAACACAGTGTCTAACACTGCAAAAGTAGCTGCGCATGTTCAAGGAAAGAAAGGAATCACCTTCCCCAAAAGGTGACACAGGTGACATAAGGTCATGCGGAACACTCCAAACCTTGTAATACAGAAACTGTGAGGAACGGACACAGAAATGTGTAAAAGTGAAATGCTGAGAGGGGGAAATCTGCACAGGGTTGAAACAATGCACACTTTCTCAGAATGAAGTTACTATTTTTAACATATAAAAATGAATAAAAATGGGTAAACAATCCAAAGAGAAAAACATATCAATAGACAGTATATAAAGGCAAAAGTATAGAACAGCAAATTCAAACAGCCAAGAAACGTTTAGAATCAAGTATGGTCGCACATGCCCATGACCCCAGCACTCTGGAAGGCTGAAGCAGGAGGATTATAGGTTCAGGGCCAGCCTAAGCAATTTAACAGGGTGCTGTTTCAAAACTTAAAAAAAAAGGGAGGGGGCAGCTTAGTGCAAAGTCCCTGAGTTCAACCCATATTACCACATGCAAAAAAATTTAATTATATGCCAATCAAAATTGGTTACCACTTTGAACTCATAAAATTTCTCAAAATTAAAGAGTAAAAGCTATTTTTAGTAGATGGAAATGGATAGTTTATAGAGTACTGTTGGACACATAAAATGCTACAGTTCTATTACAAATAATCTGACAAAATGCATTAAAATAAGTAAAACACATACAATTTAATTATCCCATTTCAGGAAGCATATGATACGGCATGTTAATGCCATGGAGTAATCCGCTAACCTACGCTACTCTTGAAGATAGCAGTAATATCATTTCTCTTAATGACAAAAATGTGAACAGCAAGTAGCAAAATAGTCAAAAGAGTTATGGAAACACTCTGCCATGGACTCCTCGGCTAATTAAAAATTGGTGAGTGCAAAAGATAAAAATTGTGTAAATTATATAATCCCACCTATGCAAGACAATGAACACACATACAGGAAAATATGTGTGGCCAGTTAACATATTAATGTGTCTATACGATCGTGACCACAAAAAAATGGTTATTAGAATTATCTGTTGACAGACTATTGATATGGTAGGATTTGCCATGAGACTGGAAAAATCCAGAGTACACGGATTTGCTCCGAGTCACATCTATGAACTAGGTATGGTAGTACAGGCCTGTAACTCCAGCATCATGAGAGGCTGAGGTGGAAAGAACACAATTTTGAGCCCATCCTGGGCAACTTCATGACTTAGCAAGACCCTGTCTCTAAATTAACAACAAAGAAAAACTTAAGGGCTGAACGATAGCTCACTGCAAAGGCCCTGGGCTCAATCCTCAGTACCACCAAAAAAGAAAAGTCAAGTCATTTGTATAACATATTGAGTATGCAATGCATATATGTATTTAAATATTTTGATTAAAAGAAAGGCAATTTTGGACTGTTCCATTTCTTCACACTGGTTGAAGACACTGGCCTAAAATTCATGAAACACAATGATTTCCATTTCTTATAGAATTTACTTTTTAGAAACTTTTTCCAATGTATCAAATTTAGAGATTCTTTCCACAGTTAATCCAATGTGTTCTTACAAAATGTATTCTCAATTATTTATCTGATGTATACGAAGATATAGTTCGTGGCTATAGTAATAACCAACATACCATAATCATAAGGTTTCTCTATAAGATGGGTAATTTATAATTGGTTCTGACTTTTGTGACACATTCTCAAGGGAAATAAATTGCTCTTGTGTATAGAGAAGAATACTTAAAAGTGATTTCTGTGTAAAGCTAAAACTGCATTCATGTTGCCTCCTTTTAGTAGTTTTTCTGATACACTCTAAGTAAAGGGTATGCTGGTCACTCTCCAGAAAGCTTCTGGTGTGTAAGGAGATTGGAACTGTTCTGTTCCTCATATGTAAATATGCTGATGTTTAGGTCACTAAATCCAGTGGGAGATTTCCCAGTTATATTTATAAAGCTTCTCTCCAGCATGAATACTCTCATGTGAAGTGAAGCATAATTTGTCAAGAAAATTCTATTCACATCAGTACACAAAACTACACCCCCATGAATTATCTGATTTCCTTACATTTACGTAATTCACAGTATGAGACTCTGTTTTTTTGAAAAGTTAAAATACATTTTATTAAAACTGTTTTTAAATAGTTTTGATGTAAATGCAAGTGAATTACAATGTAACATTGCTGTAAAAAGGTGTGAATAACCCACATGGGTTTCCCTAATGAGGTCTGTAACCTACATTGGCTCAGAGTTCCGTTTAAGATGTAGCTCCGCCACCCTACTCAGTTTCCTGTCATTCACTCACTCAATTCCTGTGCCCCAGAGATGCAAGGAACATCACAAAGAAAACCTTCCTTTCCCCTAGGGATCAACTGTGTTGCCAAGAATTGTTTGTCTTTCTCCTTTTGTCTTGCAAGTATGGTATTTTATTTTTTAAATGGGGCTGAAAATTAAAAAGTTGAGAATCACTGAGTAGTCCTACTACATTAATTTCTGATAACTCATTTTCAAACTTGTGGACTCATAGACCACCCCCTGTTAACCTCGTTTTCCTCTGATTACCCAAAGGAAAAACCACAGTGTTAAAGCAGCATTCAGTCAAGGTGAGTCCTGGGGCTGCCACAGTGCCATCTGACAGCACCAGGCGACATTCTCGCCTGTCACAATCTGTAACTCATTGTAAATTGAAGCATTTTTATCTGTAAGTCAGTAATTTTGGTGATTTAAAAATAAATTTTGGGATTCCAGTCTCATTAGGTAGGGACAACACCTCAACGAACTGAAATGATCTGTTAGTGGAGAGCAGGTGTGTCTTTTAAAAACTCAAAATTAAGATTGAAAAAAGTATTAAAAAGATTTAACTTTCTGAAGGCATAGAAGCTGCCAATGCAGTAGGAAATTTCAAGAGTAAGATTAGAGATAAGACAGTCTTTAGAATTTCAGATAGCTTGTTACTAAGAGCACTTAATTCCTAAGGCAAACACAAGGCAAGAAAGGCTGCTGAGCTGTTCACAAACTCATGAAACTGAAGAGAAAATACTAGAATCCAGGTCCTTTCAAGGAAAAGAGCCCAATAAAGCTCCTGCAGTCTTGCAGGTATCCCCTTAAAAAAAGGGCGAAAAAACCTGACAAGCCCCAGAGCTGAGGTCTCACTTCACAACCTCAAGGCATCATTAGATAGAGGTAACCAGGGCTGCTGTCCCCAGGCTGCTCACCTGCTGAGAGCAAACGCAGAAATCTTTTCTGGAAGAAGACAGACCTAGCTAGATCCTCTCCTCTGTCTCTACTGTTTTAGTAGTTAGTGTCTGGCAACTGATTTCACAAGTCACCACATATACGAGACCAAAACTCAAGTAAAAACAACAGAAACAGACCAAAAGGGCAACTAGATAAAAAGACTATCTCTGGAAGAAACAGAAACATAAAGCAGATGGATGATTTGAACAGATAATGTCTAGGAATTTCCAAGATGCACATATTGCAGCGTGGACACACAAACACACACAGATAAGCTACATATTACAGAATCACTGCAACACCAAGCAGTATACACAGAAAATTATACCTTGACAACCTATCACTGTACAACTGCTAAAAGCAAAACCCAAAGAGATACATTTTTTAAAGACTGAAAAAAAAGCATACTTCAAAGGTATTATAACTGGCCTCTTACTGTTCAATAGCAGACAGACTAGTGAAATGTGATTGCAACACAGACTTCTACACTCACTAGAAGTAAGACAAAGGCTGGGGTAAGGTAAGGTAAAGAAAGGACAGGGCATACAACTCAGGGTACTGTACACTTAGCATGTGCAAGGCCATGGGATTAAGTTCCATTGCAAAAAAAAAGGGGGGGGGGCTGAGGGTTTAGCTCAGCTGCATAAGTGCCTGCCTGCCAAGCACAAGGTCATGAGTTCGATCCCTGGCACCAAAAAAAAAAAAAAAAAAAAAGCCAAGCCTCTCAAACAAGTAAAAGCAGTTATTTTTCACCCATAAACTCACACTAAAAGAATGACTGATTGTATCCGTTGTATAAAGAATTCAAATGTATGACCTCAATACTTCAAGTCTAGAAGGGAAAAACATGAATTTAATGTTCTAATCTCCCCTGACAAGAAGTAGTTTGAGAACAAACTTACATTTTCTTCTAGCAAGGGAATTCAATTAACCAGGAAAATAATAGCAATTCTAAATTTGAATATACTAAACTTGAATGTATGTTAAAAAGAAGACTCAGAACATATAAAACAAAAATTAGTGGTTTTAAACAAAAGACATTCACAGTTATTCTGCAAGACTATGACATTTATTTCAGCATCTCATTAAATATGATTTGCAGAGACCAGAGAGGATAGGAAGAGTGCTTTTCCAAATGTTGGACTGTATTTTACCTTGTAAGAAAAAGTGTTAAAATGCAAGGCAATTGGGACCAGTGGTAATCTAGCCAGTAATGAATGCAGAGTACGCATTAACAAAACTTCAGGGAAAGAATTGTAGGTTTTGGGACCTGACTGGCTTAATTTATCTCTTCTTCAAACAGAAACCATTAAGAAAGTACAATTTTCTATGAAAAACAGCTGAGGACTGAAAGTGTTACCGAGTCTAGGACCCTGTGGCTCAGCTCCGTGACCCAAGGGCCAGTTCTGAGGTGACGCAGTTACAAGGCTGCTGCTCACACCATCGATCCATTCAGGGATACAGGCCGGAAGCCAGTGCCACAGCATACACCAGTAACTGCTAAAAACAATAATGATTTCTCTAAGGAAAAGTACAGTCCCTAGTGTCAATTTTCATAAAGTTTCCCTTTTTTCTTCTCACTACAGCTATGAATTAACTAACTTCTTCCTTGATCTCATTGTCTTTCCGGGACTTAGACAATGAAAATTTTCTCACTGCTCTACTTGTTATGAAGTTTTTTTGGGGGTCAATATCAAATAGTCTTTGCCATCAAAAGCATAAAAAACTCTGACTTTATATAGGTGTTCACTCAAAAAAAAAGAGAGAGATTATAAGTCACCTCTTTACATTTTATATGTTGCCCAGGTTGGTCTCAAATCCCCAGGCTCAAGGGATTCTCCGGCCTCAGACTCACGAGTAGCTGGGATTGCAGATATGCACTGTGCCATCCACATTTTGCATCTTTACTATTATTTGCAAAGGCCTATCCATCTGTCAGGAAACCAAGTATGACCATGACATATTGCTTATTACTGTCTCAAAGTATCTCCCCAGATGTATAATGAGTATCAGCTCCATGATGTAGATGTTAATTTTGCTACACTTAAGGTAGAAGGTGGGCCATGGTTACCTCCTACTTCTCGTTCAAGCTGTAGCATCTGATTTCTTTGGATCGCCATCAGGCTTGTGGCATTGGGCACTCACTGGCTACTGATTCCCCAATATTGGACTTCGGACCTGTAAGTTGTGGCTTCCAGGTTAGGGCTTTCCTCACATCACTGCACTTGTAGGGCTTCTGTTTGGTATGGATTTTCTGGTGTTTAAGAAGATTTGATCTAATGGTGAAGGCCTTTCCACACTGAGCACATATATATGGTTTCTCTCCTGTGTGAATTCGATGGTGCTCATGAAGCTGTGACTTCTTAATGAAGGCCTTCCCACAGTCCCGGCACTCATAGGGTTTCTCTCCAGTATGAATTCTCCTATGTCTATTCAAGTGTGACTTCTGGATGAAGGATTTCCCACATTCGGTACAAATATAAGGTTTCTCTCCTGTGTGAATTCGATGATGCATGATGAGCGTTGATTTCCTGGCAAAGGCTTTCCCACAGTCACTGCATTCATAACGTCTTTCTCCAGTATGGGACTGCTGGTGTATATGGAGGCCTGACTTCCGAGTGAACGCTTTTCCACAGTCACTACACTTATAGGGTTTCTCCCCAGTGTGAATCTTCTGGTGTGTGAAGAGGTTTGATCTGTCTGTGAATGCCTTTCCACATTCAGCACATCTGTAGGGTTTCTCTCCTGTATGAATCTGCTGATGAACATGGAGTTGTGATTTCTTGGTGAAAGATTTCCCACAGCCATTGCATTCATAGGGTTTCTCTCCAGTATGAATCCTCTCATGGGTAATAAAGTGAGACCTGTGGAAGAAGGCTTTCCCGCATTCAGTGCAAACGTAGGGCTTTTCCCCTTTGTGGATTCTCTGGTGCATACGGAGTGTTGACTTCTGAATGAATGCCTTCCCACAGTCACCGCACTCATAATGCCTCTCGCCAGTGTGACACTTCTGATGGATTCTGAGCCGTGACTTCCAGGTGAATGATTTCCCACAGTCACCACATTTGTAGGGTTTTTCCCCAGTGTGAATTTTTTGGTGTTTAATGAGATTTGACCTATCAGTAAAGGCCTTCCCACACTCAGTACATATATAGGGTCTCTCTCCAGTGTGAATTTTCTGATGGATAATGAGATTAGTCTTGTGAGTAAAGACCTTCCCACACTCTGAACAGATGAAGGGGTTCTCTCCTGTGTGAATCCGCTGATGCACAAGGAGTTGCGACTTTTTTATAAATGATTTCCCACACTCACTGCATTCGTAGGGTTTTTCTCCAGTATGAATTCTTTCATGTGTGATGAAATGAGACTTTCGGATAAAAGCCTTCCCACACTCAATACAGACATAGGGTTTTTCTCCTGTATGAATTTTCTGATGCATACATAGTGTCGATTTCCTTGTAAAGGCTTTTCCACATTCAGTGCATTCAAAGTGTTTCCCTCTGGTAGGAACTTTCTTATGTATAGTGAGTTTTGATCTCTGAGGGAAGTTTTTTCCACACTGACCATATTCAAAGAGTTTTTCTCCAGTAAGATTTCGCTGGCAACTAAACAGATCAGACTTCTGGATACTGCCTCTACCATACTCACTGTGTTCATAGTAATTCTCTTCATTAGGAGTTTTCCAATTATGTAACTTGTGAGCATAATCCTCTCTAAATTCAGTGGGTATAAAGAGTTTCTCTGTAGTGAAGACCCTCTGAGGCACAGTATGCTGGCGTTTCTGAGCAAAGACTGTCTCATATTTGTTGCACTCTTGTTCTTCAGCATAAATATTCTGACCTGCAAATAGGGGTGACTCCTTAGTAAAATCTTTTACAAAGTCATAAAAAAAATGGAAGTTCTCCCCAGGATGAATCTTCTCATGTTGAGTAAGACCTCGCTTAGGGCTCAGAAATTCCCTGTGCTGATTAGCTCCACACATATTCCTCTCTGGCTGAGAATTAATAGGAGTACATGTATCGCCACATGCAACAATCTTAAGATCTTCTGGGGCATCATTTCTATTATGATTATATAAGCTTGCAACAGGCTTCAAACTCTTTCCAAGTGAGCTGCTGTGATGGAAACCTCTCCTTAAGGAAACAAGGTGTGTGCGTGCAGGAACTATTTTTCCTGTGTCCTCACAGTCTATCTCATTAGCTAGTGCTGCCTTGTTGGTAAAGGCAACATGACTTAAAAGTTCGATGTGGTTCTCCTCATATCTCCTCCTCCATTTATCATCTTTCCACAATTCTAAATCTCTTATAAAGAGATGAATTCTGTCAGGCTGGAGAAAAAATTCTTCAGAAGGCTCTGGTTGTGAAGCCTCAAGACCAATATCCTCACCTAAAAAAGGAGAAAAGATAAAACTTATACAAGAACAATTAACGGAAGACAGAAGGACTGATACACTGTTGATTCAGTGTAAAAACAGAGAGACTTTGTAAGTAGAACAAATATATCTAGTGTAATAAATACAGTAATAAAGTAGCACAGCACTATCTTACCTTCACCTTACATAAGTAACAGGGTTTGTATGTACTACTCTAACCTCCATCTTAACTCATTTATCATAACCCTTTCTTATTGGTACCAAAGTCTCCACTTTACAGATGAGGGAACTGAACTACAAAAGTCTGTAGTAACTGCCCAAGTTAAATGTTTATTGAGGAAGAAGAGTTTCAAGTCCAAGCAAAGGCAGAAGTGAAAAAGATGCCAGAAGAAAAAAGTGGCCAGTCCTGAGCCTTAGGGGAAGGTTGGCACGAGAGAGAGGGGGTACTAAGAACAAATCTGGTCTTGTGCATGCTGACACATGCTCTTCCACTAAGCTACACTTCCAGGGCTGTAAGAGAAGTATTCCTGAGCCTAGCATCTTATCCTTCCCTGGAGACCTACCTCTCTGACTTCTGTTTCATCTATTAACGACTGTGCTATTAATACCAACCTACTTATGTTTATAACAAAACTATTTGGCTTCAGTCACATTAATTCAACCAAAGGGTAAACTGGATGTCTATGACTCAGGGCTTTATCCCGAGGTTAGGGTACAGATACACATGCACCCAGTAGGAAGCCTAACCCAGAAAGGGTCATCCACCTGAGGCAGGAAGCCATCCACCAAATCTGTGCCCTTTCTGTACAGCAATAAGCTGTGGCCAAGCTAGGGACTGTGCTCCATGGAAGCACACTCTGGGTGTTGTTTTTTGATTTTGTTTTTTAAGCTTATCAGCGAACAGGAGTATGACCCATGCTGATTTCCACTAAGAATGCATGTCTACGAATATTGAAATACATATGCAAAGGACCTAAAGCCCTGAGGTAGAAAGAATAAAAATTTTCTAGGAAAAGTAAGAAAAATGCAAGAAAGCAGAATTCTAGATGATGTAAAATGGATCTATAAAACACCCTGGTATGGGCACTGGTGATCGCATGGGGCCACCGTCAACTCTACCCTAGTATGAAAGTTCAGACCAAAAGCAGAAAAGTCGTTTTATCTGCATTGTAAAGTGGCCAGCCTCTGGTGGCACAGCTGAGGGTGAGTCCCAGTGTCTTCCTCACTCACCTGTGTAGCTGTGACTTGAGTTCTCACGCCCCAGTGAACACGGGTCTTCTCCTGGCTCCCAGCTGAAGAAGACTTCTGGGTTGGGAACCTGACATCCTGTCACCAGCAAACAACAGAGGAGTTGGTTTGAGAGGCTGTAGACTGAAGCACACTGCATGATTTCTAGAAAAGTTCACTGGGAACAAAGGTGCACTGACAGAATCCAAGAGATCATTAAGAACATGGGACAAACCAAGAAACCATTATACACTCAGGATATCCCACAGCCTGTCCAAAGCCCACATCTCAGAACACCCACAGATCCCAGAAACCGCACTGTGAAAGAAAACACACGAACACAGGCACAGCTCACTGTACACCCACAGGGCTGTGCTCACCCACTGAGACCAGGTTGAAATAGTTCTCCAGCATCACATCCCTGTACAGGCTCTTCTGGACGAGGTCCAGATGCTGCCACTCCTCCCTGCTGAAGTCCACAGCCACATCCTCAAAGGACACTGTTCCCTGTGAAAACAAATCCCCATTCAAGGGGAAGGATCAAGACAGCAGCATCAGATCTAAACACCTATATGTTACGTTGTTATTTTGAAGAAAATTATCATGGTAGTCTTTCTGCAATATTGATAATATATTTCTTAAAAATCTATGTGCTATCTAGCTGCCCATACCTGTAATACTGCGGCCAAGCTAGGGACTTTGCTCCGTGGCAAAATGCTCTGAAAGGCAGAGGCAGGAGAATCACAAGTGCAAGCCCAGAGAAACTTGGTGAGCTAGTGACCTCCGGGGTCTCACACACACTAGCCAAGCGCTCTACCACTAAGCCACAGCCCTGGCCATACTGACCCCACATTCTGTTTGAATTGTGCTGGCTAGGTGTTCCCACGCACCAGGGAGTTACGGACCGGGCAGCCTCTGCTGGGCCCGCCCCTCCAGGTCAACCTACCGAAGGCTTCACCAATAGGGTACACCTCCAGGCGCTGGGACCTGGGTTGTTGCTAGCCTACTGGGTCTCAGCCAGCAGCGTCATGTAGGCTAGGCACTGCTCACCAATCCCGCTTGAGAGGGAGATATGTGACTGAAGTCACTATAGCGCCCTGTTCCGGCAAGTCTGCCCGGTCCCAGAATGTCCTCTGTTGGAGCCTCCTAGACCATGGAAGAGTCTCAGTTTCCCTCACTCACCATAGGTCAATGCACGGCTTCCCGCCGGTCCCACTCTCAACTCTGTTCACCAATTCCCGTTCTCAGAGCTTTCCCGCGTCTCTTTCTCTGCCGAGCCGATTCAGACGCAGCGGCGGTGGCAGGAAACCCAAATCATGGCTCCAGCTTCCACGCTGTGGCTTTATCTGTTCCTGTTACAGCACCCGGATTGCATTCCCAGTTGGTTTCTCTCAGCCCAGTTCGTTCTTGGGTCAGCAGGGTATATCTCCTCTTGCTTAGGATTCCTCACTCCGTACCATTCCTGGATTCTAAGCTGGGTCTCTCAGAGAGCCTCTGTAGCTGCTGCTATCTGTCCACCACTCCCCTCAGCAGTCTTTATTCTTAGAAGTCACATTTCTCTTTGTCCCTCTGTGGAGACTGAACTTGTCCGGATGCGCCTCAGTTCAGGGGCCTTGTAATTTCCTGTTGGTGACAGCTGTGCAAGCTGGGTAGCTGGACTACGAAGCTGAGGGGCCTTGTTTCTGAGGCTCCTGGTGTGGATTCCTTCCGGTTGGGAACCAGGCTGGTTACCCGATGAGATTCTTTTGTCTGTGGGACAATGCGTGGAGGCTCCTGTGGGCTCTTGGACCTTACTACCAGCCCTGCTGATCAGAGGAGAAACAGACCTGCCCAAGAGTAACGTGGGCGGATTTCTACAAGCCCACGTGCACAATGCTGAGTGGTCCCCACTGGTGTCTGAGCACTGGGTGAAATAGGCAGCTGTTCAGCCTTGCTGCATAACCAGGTGGAGAGGCCTGGCCTGTTATGTTAGCTGGGGCTCTGGATGAGCACAGGTAGAGACTCTGCTGTGTCCTGGATGCTTGGAACACTCCTGTATAAACCCCGGTTACCTGGTGACTGGCATTGGATGGCAGACAGAGACTGGCAGGTCTGGGATTGGTGCAGGGAAGGCGTGTAGGCTGCTGAGTGTGGACTCAAACCCGTTGTTAGCTCTGTGTGCTGGGTGGATGTCCCTGCACACTTCCCACATTCAGCAGAAGACAGGTGTCTGCAGATTCAAGAAGATGAGAAAATCTCAAACAGGAAAGTATCAAATAAATCCATGCCCATTACACACCATACAAATTCAAGAAAACCCAAAAGCAATCAGAGAGAAAAGGCATTTTACCTGAAGGGAAACAATCATTGAAGTAAGACTGAATTTCTCAAGTGCTGAAGGAAAAGAGCCATCAATATAGAATTCATGTCTAATGAAAATAAAACAGGCTGTTTAGGTTTTCTAGAGAAAAGAGTGTCATGTGAAAACAACAGACAGACAGAAGATGACCATGTGACAGTGAAAGCAATAGGAGTTATACAACTGCAAAGTGAAAAATACAAAGGCCTGGAGATGCGGTTCAGGGCAAAGGTTCTGGGTTCAATACCTAGGACCACAAAAGGAGGAAGAGCATTGCAGCAGGGAAGGAAGCTGGGCCTCCTATATACGCTTGTATATAAGGAACAAAGAATATGGGAAGAGGGAACAACAAGAAAGGCTCCTTGGCCCCCAATCCTGAGAAACAGGCAATAGCAGACACAGCACCAATAGACATAAAGCGCTATCTCCAGAGCCTCATAGACAAGCTCAGGAATGAAGTTATTAATGACCTGAAGCAAGACATAAGCAGAATAGTTAGAGAAATGCTAAGCACCACCCAAGAAAAAACAGATGGTGGAATGGAAGAACAGAAAAAAAGGGGAGAATTGTTTGATGGAGAAAATAGAGAAAGCACAGAATACATGAAGCAGGTTCAGAGAGATTACCAGGAAACTAAAAACTCTATCGAAAACTGGCATAACAGCTTGAAAGAAACTAAGGATAGATTATCTGAACTGGAGGGCAGATTTGTAATATGGGAGCATGAAATGGAAAAACTTCTTAAAAATAACAAAGAAACAAACAGCAATAATACAAAGACTAGAAGATGATAAGAGGATCTATAACTTAAGAATTAAGAACATAAAAGAAGAGGTAGGGACACAAATAAATGAACTACAAAAGTTACTTGCAAAAATAATCCAGGAGAATTTTCCTAATTTAGCAAAAGGTAAAGATACTCAGATGTATGAGGCATACAGGATCCCAGCCACCTACAACCCAAACAGAGCTACACCCAGACATATAATAATCAAAATACCAGAAATCCAATATAAGAACAGAATATTAAAAGCCGTCAGAGACAAGAAACAGATCACTTACAAGGGAACACCCATCAGAATTACAGCGGACTTCTCAGCACAAACCATCAAATCACAAAGAGCATGGGGGGAAATAATTCAAGCTTTGAAAGGTAATAACCTCCAGCCATGATTGATATATCCTGCACAACTGTCCCTAGAAATTGATGGAAAAGCAAGGTGCTTCCAGGATAAAGAGGAACTAGGGGAATTTGCAACCACCAATTCAACTCTACAGAGAATACTGCAGGATATTCTAAAAAAGAAAAATACAAAGAATCCAGAAATAGTGGCAGAGAGGCCACAATGAATGGAGCAGAAAACAAAATGAAGAAGACAAACTGAAAACTAATGACAGAAAAAGAACTCAACAGAAATGAGGAAGAGAAGACTGGATGATAGGAACAGCTATTTTGGAGAAAACGATGTCATAATAGGTAATGGTGATTTAATATCATCTTGTTTTGAAGTCCCATCAAGCTTTTGTTTTTCTGTCTCCATAGGTCTTAACATGTTGTATCTTATTGGATTTTATTTTATGTGATAGCATAAACAAAAACTTTTATAGACAAGGAGATTATACAGAAACCATTCTTCATTTTCTGTTAGTTGATTCTAAATATCCTGTAATACTGTCATTCTCTTGAATGGTTTTACATTGTTTTGATATATTTGATGCTACAGTATGAAGTTATACTCAAAGATTTCAAGGAGAGAGACAATATGGTAACAACTTTTACGTTGGGATTATCTTTTGGTGAAACACCATTTTGCTTAAATGGTTATGTTTTGATCTGCGCTGTTTTGTTGTTATGCCCTCTTTTATCTCAATCTCAATTTTATTACTTTTTTATTTTTATCCTTTTAATTAAGGGAAAAATAAATAAAAAATAGCAGGATATATTATAGTAACCCACTTTGATTTTCTATTAACTTGATTTGAAGCCCTGTATTGCTCTCACCATCTTGTTTTGACCGATGTTCCTCTATTCTGTTCTGCTTGATAGTACCAGGTTCAAAAGTTTAGGCAACAGCTGTGAAGATAGTGGGATTCATTATCACGCCCATTCTGGTTGACTATTATCATCTTTTGAAGTCCTCTTATGTCTCCAATGTTTTGGTTTTATTGGTCTTATTCTTTACTGTTTTGTTCAATTTTATTATAACTGATGATATAGGCCGTTCTTTTTAAGATAGCAAGAGGCATTATGGTAACCATTGTTGATCACCTTGAATTATGTTTTTACATTATCTATTATGTCCACCCTTTTGATTTAACCGACTCTGTTCTGCTATGTCACATTTGTTTTTACTCTCTTCCAAAACAGTAATAAGAACTGTGGGAGTAATAAAACCCAAAATGTGTAATAGCCATTGTACAAAAGAGAGGAAAAGAAAGTGCTCTAAAGGACATAACTGCATTTATATTTAAGTATATAAGATAGATAACCATAGTACTGAGTTTTGTTGGATCATTGAACAGAACTGTTTGCAGTCTGTTTGAATGTCCACTTTATATGCTTTAATTTTGTAACTTGAACAAATATTTCTCAGATGACAATATGTAATCCATTAACTAGTGATTTCCTGTTTATTTTTTTTCTGAAATTCTGTATAACTTGTACCCTTTTTCTGCTTTATTTTTCTTCTTCTCCTTAAGTAAAATTTTAAAAAAAGAATTAAAGACTGCTAACCTCAGAAGAAAACAGTCCTTTGTAAATACACAGGAATTTCTTTTCCTTCCCCATTATTAGTATATTAGTATATTTTTTATTCTTCGTTATTTTTTTTCTTTTTGTAGTTTGGCATTTTACCACCCATTTTCTTGCCCCCTTTAATATTATGTTTGAATAGGCCCCTCTTTTTTTTTTTTTTTTGTCTTTTTTATTTTTATCGGTACCAGGGATCGAATTCACGACTGCCTGCTTGCAAAGCAGGCGCTTATGCTGCTGAGCTAAATCCCCAGCCCCTAAATAGGCCCCTCTTTTGTTCTCTCTCTCCCTCTTCTATTCCTGTCCCTCTTTTTTTTTGGTCTTTTTCCTTTTTATCGGTACCGGGGATCGAACTCATGACTGCCTGCTTGTAAGGCAGGCGCTTATGCTGCTGAGCTAAATCCCCAGCCCCTCCTTTCCCTCTTTTAACTTGTCCCCTTTTATCTACTTTCTTTTTCTCTAGTTTAGTCTCCACTCTCTATTACTTAACCTTCTCTGTTACTGTTACCTAATCACTAATTTCCCTTTATTCCTTAACAGGACCACCTGCACCAATCTTACCACACTCTTCCCATCTACCTTTGCTCTATTTTTATAATCTTTTTCTCTTTTTAATGCATAGAACTACACCTGTAACACCTACCCTTATCAATCTGTAAGTAGTTAACTATCTCTAAATACATCCAAATAGTGCTTTATAGTAAGAAGAGGTAAATTGCTGTATCAAAGGGATATTTACTCTATATAATTTTCTGATTTATTTCAGATCTTGTTATGTAACTACTTTATAAATCCTATACCTAGGATTAAATGTAATAAAGTATTAGTTATTATGGTCTGCCATTTTCCAGTTTATGTTTGATACTATAGTTATTACTAATTGTATTAAGCCAAAGTGACACTGCTGTTGGGGTCAAATGATCCTTTGTATGCCAATACCTAGATTATGTGGGGCCCACTAACAATACTTCAGCTCAGTAACAAAGAACTGGTGAGTGGGCCAAAAAGGTTGTATCCTTCCATCACGCTGCCATAAGCCAGCTATGCTTAGAAGACAGCTCCGAAAAGTAGTGATTACCTAAGCAAGCCTTGATGCTACTAATAAAACCATCTACCATCAACATCTCACAAGCCTCAATGTGGAAAACAAATAAACAGCACCAATTATACACAAAATGAGAAAACAGAAGCAAGACACAGCCACACTACTGGGAAGATGGTGGAGCAGTGAGCGGTAGGGAAATAGTCTCTTCAAGACTTGGTGCCTACAGGCTAGAATAAGCACTGTGAGGAAAAGAGGGAAGTGGGTCATTACTCCTAAACACAGGTCTGAAAACACTGGCCACAGCAATCAGACGAGGAGAATTGAAGGGAAGGAAACAGAAGGGGAAAAGGAGAACTAGGAGATACACTATGAACAGATAAATTTCTAGTAATGAATGAATGTGATCCTTAGGTATGTAAAAATGTACTAATAAAATTAACATTAAAAAGAAAGTTTGAAAAGATAAAAAACATAAGTAACCAATTTGAAGACTAAAACAGCAGACATTACCACACATCTTACAAACATTAAAAGAATAAGACAACATTTCTGCTATGAACTCAGCTGTGTCCTCCAAGTCTCTACACAGAGCCATAACCTCCAATATGACCGTATTTGGAGATACAGCTTTGAAGAGGTATTTAAGGTTAACTGAAATCATACAAGAAAGAGCCCAATTTGGTAAAACTAGGGGCTTTGAAGAGAGTTATCTAAGACATTCACAAAAAAAGGACTTCCAGAATTGCTTCAGAAAATGGTTAGCATGATGTGAAATGTGTTTAAAGGCAAGAAGAGTATTTTGAGGGATTAATGCAATGCGTCTTTTCCAGTAATGCATTTCAAAAGTTTATACATTCACCATATTTTTTTTTTATTATACCTCACACTCACAATCTCCGGCAGAATAATTAACATAGAGGAACACATTCCAATTCATGAGTCCAATGCTACCCTGATATGGGGAGTCAATACTTCTCATAATATGCAAAAATCCTTAAGAATGTATTGACAAATACAAATATATACGAAGTTGACATTATGACAAAGTGGGCCTTACTCCAAAAATGAAAGGTTGATTCGACAGTCAAAATGTCAGTCAGTCAAAATGACAGTCAATGTAATCTACCATATCGAGACTACCACAATAAAAAAATCACATGATCACGGCAAATGATGCAGAAAAAGCACCTGACAAATTAATACCTATTAATGATGAAACTCATTTGCTTGGAACTGTTTTCAGTAAGGGATGAAAAATTGATATCCCTGATGAAATAAGATACTTGTTAACAATATAAACCACGTATCCAATTTCTATTATTGTCAAAAGATCAGAGACAATGGAAAAGTGCAGTTCATAACAGTGTGAAACCACAGGACTCACACGCATCTATATTGCTAAACTGATCTGGAGTTCATCGCCTTCTTCATCTTCCCTCTTCTTAGTTTTTATTCACCTATACTTGTCCATTTTATATATGGAGCATTAGATGCCTCTTAAAATCGACTTGGAAAATAAAATCAAGCAACAAATAACTCACCAGGGACTTGTTCATTTTTGGCTCTTCTGGGGAAGGGGCAGAGATCTGAGAAAACAGGTGGGCAGAGGTGCAGTTAACAGCAGGAAGTCTGAGCCCCGCTATCAAAAAAATAAAGACAAGTAAAATTATAAAATAAAGACACAGACAAAGCCACAGTACATTATCCAAATGAAATAAAAATGAAAGTAACTGTGGCAACGCAGGTATAAATGTGAACTCAAAAAGTACTTTTTTGTTGAAAAAAGTGATCCTATAATAACAGCATCCAATACAAGGAAAATGATAGAAAATGCATTAATTATTAGGTCTATGTATGCCCCTCCCCTGATATGCACAAACAAAACTATCAAAAAAAGCATACAGAAAAATATGAGCTGTTTAAGGTTTTTAATTGCACCTCTTCCAAGGGCTGCACTGAATTATAAATCCAGCAGAACAAAACAAGGAGGGACAAAAATTTGAACATCTAAAACAAGTTAGATTTAATGATTAAGACTTTACACCACACAAAGAAACTGTTAGTTTTAAAAAGCTTAGCTTTGATATCGAGCATTTGCTGACAATACAATAAAAAAGCCAACTGAAATATATCTTAATAATCTAAGAATGAAGAAACTCTTCTAAACAACTCAAGATCAAAGTAGAACATCAAGGTGTTGGCACAGGCCTATAATTCCAGCCTCCTGGGAGGCTGAGGCAGGTGGATTGCAAATCTGAGCCCAGATTAAGCAATTCAGAGATTCAGCTACAGCCTGTTTAAAGGCTAGGGGTACAGCTCTGTGTAAAAGTGTTGGATTCTACCCTCAATACAAAATACATACATACATACAGTACATGCATAAAATTTAATATATAAATTTTACAAAGATATAGAGAAACTTTACTTAAAATATACTCAATGTAAAATTGAAGAGGGAGCTTGGAAGGGTGTGACCAGCCCACAAAATGCAGGCTGATTGCAATGTGTCAACTAGGGCCCTGCTGTGGAACAAGCAAACAGCACCCTCGTCACCTCTACTACTCCTTCCAACAGACTACAAGATTAACTCATTATCAGACTAAAACTATGAAGTCTGAGATGGCCAAGAGCTTCTTTGGAGGGGCCAATCCTGTGGCCCACGACCACAGCTATAGCCCCACCATGCTGCTGTAAGCCGAGGATACTGTCCAGAAAACTCTCAGTGCCCTGGCCTTTCACAAGCCAGGGATCATCCAACTCAACACCAGGGACATGACGTAAAAACTCATTTCCAGAGAATTGCTAATCATCAGCTCTGGAGGTATTTGAACAGAACAAAAGGGCACCCAACCTCAGGACCAAAGAAGAGCTGGACGCTAGGGATTAGGCCTTTAAGAAGGAAAAGGAAGTCACTGTGGATGTGGTGACAATGGGCAAGATAATGGAACACAAGGAAATGGAACGCAAGAAATGGTGCTCAGTGGCCTGAAGGAAGAGGCCAAGGAGCAGGCCCAGGACCTCCCACAGAGAGCCAAGAAGCTATGCATGGAGCAGGAAGAGGGTGTAAGGATACCTAGGATTATCCTCAGTGCCAAGGGATGCCCAAATCCTGCAGAAGCAGCAGATACAAAAGGGCTGGATAACAGAGGAGAAAAGGCTGGAAAAGATGATGGAAATAGACTACCAGAGCACCACATGTGGTGGTTCATGCCTGTAATGCCAGCACTCAGGAGGCTGAGGCAGGAGGATCATTGTGAGTTTGAGTCCAGCCTGGGCTACAAAGTGAGCTCAAGGCCAGCCTGAACTGCATAGAGAGGCCCTGTCTCAAAAAGACCAAAAAAAAAAAAAAAAAACAAAAAAAAAAACCAGACTACCAGAAATCCACTCAGAGGCATGGGGAACTGGACAGGAAGAGAAAGGGGAAAAAGTATGAGGAAGACTGCACATCCTGGAGCAGATGGAAAAGAACCATGGGGAGCAACTACTGCTTGCAAAGCAGCAGAAGGGGCAGAAGCTGGGGAAGTTGGCAGGAAACGGTGGCTTTCAAGCAGTACAGTACACGCTGGCTCTTAGGTTCAGTGGGCCTGGAATGAGTCTGAGTGCACCCTCAGGGTTCAGAGAGAGCAGACTGAGAACCAGCAGTGGAAGGAGGTGAAAAAGCTGCAGGGAGTTTGGAGCAAGCTATCCAGTGAGCCGAGCAGGTGCAGGACCAGACTGCCACCTTCCAGGAAGGCTGGTCCCTCAAAGAGGTGACCTGAAAGCACCAGGAACACCCTAATGACATCAAGAAGAAACTTGAAGAGCTGAGAGCCTCTGGTCTTTCTAAGAAGTACTGCATTGAAACTAAGCACAAAGCCCCCATCCAGCCTGAACCACTGAGAACTGAGGGAGTCTCCCCAACCTTCTGGATGCCTCCAGGCGACAGATTCTGCCCAGTCTCTGGGTGTCCAAATAGCAGATAACCTAGGCATTTTATGGCTAGAGATTAAATCTGTCCTACTTCTCAAAAAAATAAAAAATAAAAATAAATAAATAAATGAATGAATGAATGAATGAGGCTCGGCATGGTGGCACAGGCCTGTAATCCCAGCGCTCAAGAGGCTGGTGCAGGCGGATTGTTGTGTGTTCAGCGCTAGCCTGGGCTCCCTGGCCAGCCTGAAATGCACACTGAAACTGTCTTAAAATGACAAAAAGTTAATTAATTAACTAAAATAACGAAAAACACATGAAAAGAGGGAACAGGAAAACAAGACAAAAAGAGTAAGGAATTAAAAAAACCATGAGCCTGTTTTTCAAAGTGGTCAGTAAAATAGATAAAAATTGGAAATGCCTGCTATTTGAAAGAAAGAATGAATGCCATTTAAGAATACTAACAGGAATGCTAAAAGAACTAATCTGGATGTGGAACCGAACAAATATGGTAGATGAAAGATAAAAGTGACCCAAGACAAAATACTTTTTAAAATCCCTTGAAAATATGCCATGATGAGTCAGAAACAGAAAAGTAAACGGCGCAGGTAAGAATAAAGGAGATGAATGAAGACAGCGCGCCCGAGCTCCTGTCACTCAGTCCCCACAACGATCCTCCCGCGGCTCCCACAACAGCGGCGCTCAGCCGCACACCCACCGACAGAGGTGAGGTGATTCAGACCGCTTCTTCCATCCCGCCCCCTTCCCTGTCACTGACACACACTCTCCACTCAGAACACGAACGGCCCATCCCTGCACTCACCTGCCGCTCATTCACACACTCTCTCAGTTGCCTCCTGCAGTAACAACGGTCGCAGAAATTGAAACGCAACACACTTCCGGTTCCGCCCTCTCTCCGCTGCACGGTCTGCAGGATTCCCGGAGGCGCGACCTGCCACGCATGCTCAGCAGAGGCTTTGGGCTTGGAGGATGCCTGTACGTAAGTTTGGGTACCTAAGCCCGTACTTCTGTTTGGGTGCCAATATGGCGGCGCCCATGCTGACACAGCAGCCTGTGGGTGACCATGTTGAAATGATGTAGGGACACAGGACTGAACTATCTTAAAGAAAGAAAGCAGGTAGAGGTGTATCCTCTCTGATTAAGGTCATACACAAACAGAACAATACAATACAATACAATACAATACAATACAATACAATACAATACAATACAATACAATACCATACAATACAAAATACAATACAATACAATGGTACAGCACTTGCAAGACCCTGGTTTCAATTCCCAAGACCACCAGAAACAAAAACGGGTCATGATTTTTTTTTCAAACTTAATACAGTTCAGTAAAATAATTTTGAAACAAAAGAATAAAGTAGAATTATTCTACCCAATTTTTAGACTTTATTTAGTTATAGAATCAAGACAGCGTGGTACTGACAAAGAGATAGTTCAAAGGAACAAAATTTAGAAATAGATTGGAAATAGACCTATACAAGTAAAAACTCATTTTTCTTTTTAAAAATTTTGATTATTTTTTTGGTTGGAAGTCAAAATCAAGACCTTGTGCTTGCAAGGCAGGCACTGTGACAGTGAGCTATATCCCCGGCCCAACTAATATTTGACAAAGGTGTAAAATTGATTCGGTTGCAGGAGACGGTCTGTCTGACAAATGGCTCTGGAGAAATTAGATATCCATAGACAAAAGAAGAACTTCAATCTGGTCTCACATCTTATTTAAAAAATGAATGATAGGTTTCAATGTAAAGTACAAAAATATGACATTCAATAGGAAATTTTTTTTTGTCTTTTTCATTTTTATCGGTACCAGGGATTGATCTCACAACCACCTGCTTGCAGGCAGGTGCTTATGCCGCTGAGCTAAATCCCCAGCTCCCAATAGGAAGGTTTTTAAGGCCAACAACTTGGTGAACAGTTTTTAAGGCTGTGATTACATAAGTCCTGAAGTAATGGTGTTGTTATCAAGTGGTGGAATATTTGGGAGATAGGGCCTGAGGGAAGGAAATTAGGTACTTAGGAGCATCCCCTGAAGTGAACTTTGGGGCCTTACTCCTTGATTGTTTTTTCTTGCTTCCAGGCTGCCATGAGTTTAGTAGCTTTCATCTCTCACAAGTCTTCCACCATCAGCCATAGCTCTGCTACAGCCCCAGAGGTATTTATTTATTCCCTTTCCTAAGAATGTTATCCATGCCGTGGGAGGAAGTGAATGTGTACAGCAACTTTCGCCATGGTGAGTTGTAATCTTTCCTCCTTTTAAATGGTTTCTCTTGGGTATTTTGTCACAGTGACAAATGGCTGAGTTACACAAGAGATTGGTACTGAGTGATGGGGTCACTGCTGTGACTGTGTAGCTCAGAAACCTTTGGAATGGACTTACAGGATGTGTTTGAAGATTTGCACACACAGAAGCCTGCAGTTCAGGAAGGGACGCCGAGTGGGTGGTTTGGTGGGAGCCCAGAAGACCCCAGTGCTGACAGCAACGTGGAGAGTAAGTACTGTCCTCAGGAGACTTCCAGTGTAAATACATACCCTACTGGGAATTGACAGAGAGGCCAGTCAGTCCCATTCTGGCAGAGAGCTTGTCTACACTGTGTCCACACCCTGAGACTCTGTGGGAGGGTGAGTTTCATGATGACATCTTAATCTGGCAATGAAAACGTCAAGGCAGCTCTGCTTTCAGTTGGTGAGATGAGAATTGTTAGCTGTTCTGAACTAGAATAACACTGAGAATTGGGAGTAAAGTGGAATTTAAAGATGTGAAAAATTGCACTTTGGCCAGAAAATAAGCTTGTGTCCTACTGGATTCAAGGACGATGTAATTACTAAAAAATACCAGTGTCATCAGCAAGAAGCTAGAATGATGGAAGAGTTTGGGAACATCTCAGGAATCAGCAGGACCCCACCCATTACCAGCTCAAAGGCTTTAGATTGGAAACACACTGGCAGTGTGCCCTCACACCGGGTCACCTCAGGAATTGTTCTTCTGATGTTTGTTCCCCATATTTAGCCACACAGACACCCAGAGGCCACTGCAGTTATGTTCTAACAGGGCCAGGACAGTGCTCACACTGTTGGCAGACATTGACATCCTTGTTACCTTGTTTTGCAGACATGCAAAAATCAGGAGCTGTTGGGTTATGGAGGCCTCCGGGCTGATTTCAGAGGAAAGCCTGGGCACACCCTCCAAAGAACAGCTCCCTCCCTCCTGACCCTGCCTTCATCTCCCCTTCCTCAAGAGCAGCTGGATTAGAACTGAGTGAGGATGGGCCTCTGGCTGTTGAGGTGCAGTATGCAGCAGGGTGAAATCGCACCACAACACATATGAGCTACAGGCACTCCGGGGTGCCTATCAGCCCTGCTGCATGCAGTGCCTCTTCTCTCATTGCTTGATTTCTCACTCATCCCTTTCTGAAGCTGTGAGGATACAGCCATTCACAGAGCCATATCTTGCCGCCTTTAAGCCTTGAAGAAAAGGCTAAAGATGTTTAGAACATCTAAACATCTTTAACTGCGTCTCCAGTGAGAGCTCACTTCTTGGAGCTGGCAGCTGGAAGGAGGTTGGAATTGAGGCCTCTTTTCCAGGGACATAGAGGAGGTCCATGTGACTGCAGAGCAGTGCAAGGCCCCAGTTCTCTGCAACTTTAAGGCCTTGTAATGGATTAAAAACTGGTGGTCAACTTAACACCAGCTGAATTAAATCAGCATGGTGCTGAGTGTAGAGGGCCCACCTGAGGGAAGTTGCCAGCATAGAGATATAGAGAGGAAGAGTGAGGCATTCTGGGTTCTCCTAAGTGTTGTTGTTGTTTGGAGCAGTTGGTTCTCCCAGAGAAGCTTACCGTGCTGGCTCCCCTGATAGGAACGCAGCTCTGGAGGAGCTCGGGATCTTGTTGCTGACAATGGCTGCAGTTCACTTTGGGGTCCTTACGCTGAGCATTGCTTGTTGGCTCCAGAGGAGGAAAATGTGTGCTGTTCAGGCTCCAGGAGAAGCTTGTCACACTGGCTTCCTGATATCAACTTGGCTGTTCTCATTGTCAGAGGAGCTTGGGACTACATTATCACTGAGGATGGCTGTGGTACTTTTCAGGGGAGCTCTGGTCCTGATTTTGAGTGTTGCTTCTTGGCTCCAGTACAGAACCCTCCCCCTGTTAGCACAGATCCTTCACCCGCTGGCACAGACTTTCTAGCTTCTACCGCAGACCTTCAGAACCTCCCAGCATCTAAGTCACTGCTGTGGGATCTAGGCCTACAGTTGGACTTGTGGGAGGCATTGTTATGGGCTCTAGGTCTTCAGCTGGACTCATGCAGGACGTTGCTGTGGGATCCAGACCCTCAGCTGGATTTCCTTGGGTTTTTAGTGTTGTGGAAAGATTTCCTGAACTTTCTTGTATTTAACTCTGGCTGACAATCATAAAATTATAAATTCTGTGTCCTGTATGTAATTGTTCTCCTTGCAATCCCTGACTACAACAGCCTAGGTCTCTTAATGGTCTGGCAAGCCATGCTGAGAGTGAGGTCTCTGCCTTGACCCTTCACTGGGCGATGTTGATCTCTCTATCAGCACCTTGTCAGGCAACAGATTTAGAAGCCCCTGAGTGGAGTCAGGGCAACCTAGGCTGCAGTGCGCACCTATATCCTCTTCACTTTCAGGTCAAGGAGGTGCTTCTCCATCACCTGAAGGATAAAATGGCACTTGTTGCCTCAGCAGCAGGCATGAGGAGAGCCTTAGGGCATGGGGACGTGCTAGGTGCCGCGGCCAGAGCGGGGAAGGAGTCAGGCGAGAGACTGAAGACGCAGGGAGACCAGTTGCTCAGGAGGCAAAAGGCAATTTATTGAAGGACTCCAGAGTTTTTATAGTGTTTCAAAACAAAGAGCAGTACAAGTCACTTCAGGACACTTTCTTGTGCATACAGCAAAGGTAAACATGTTCTTGGGCCCCTGAGAAACTTCTGTTGTGCAGCCCAGGAGGTAAGCGTGTTCCTGGGCCCATGAGAAACTTCTTTTGTTTATGTTATAAAGCTATTCCCAGGTTAATATCAGCGCGACGCTTTGTCTAGAAGGCTGAGGTTACTGCAGGATGAGGAACTGGTTGAGGTCCAGCTTCAGTGTGTGGTTTTCCATACCCGTTCACTGCCGGACCCCTGCTTCCTGCTCCCAACAGGGACGGGGCATTTGGGAGGGAGGCAGGAAAGTCACCTGTCTTGGTTTCAAAGACAGAAATTTAGGCTCTGTGGCCCACTCTGCTCAATCTCCTTTCCAGCTCTGCACACTCAGCCCCTCTGTTCCCTGTTCCTTCACCTTGTCCACACAGGCATCCCCCACTGAGAAGCAGCCCCTCTAAAAGCCCGCAGTTCCTGGCCGGTTAGGATAAACAAAATCCCAAGAGCCTCAAGCATGGGGTATCAACCACTTTCCTTGTGCTTCTCATGTTACTTGATGCTCTTCCCCATTTCTACCTGTTGTCCTCTCAACTTCATCTGGTGTCACCGCCCTGGTCTTCTTGGTGTCTCTTCATCTCTTGTCAATCTTGTATCCCCCTTCCCTGGCCTACCTTGTCAGAATGAGTCCTTGTTTTGGTCTAGCACCAGTGTTAGTTAGAGCCAAGTCTCTGTATATGTAGAATGTATTTTTGCCAGGAATTTGGGGGTGGGTGATGGCCCCCACCTGGAACAGAGGGAAGGGGTTGTGAGTGTCCCAGGCAATGGCTTGCAAGTTTCCTTGGCCAGGAGCAACCCTAAGCCAAGAACCTGGGAGAAGCAGAAGACAAGGCTCAGTCCATCCCGGTCCACACCACATGGGTTGTTAAATCTTTATCACCACCAGCTACACACATACTGAGACACACGCACTTATGATGAGACATGGGTATATAGGCACACACACACACTCCTTTGCAGGTAAGGAATTCAGCTCAATTTCAAAGGCTTGAGATGATATTTCTGGACTCTTAAAGACTCCAGGGTTCTACCCCAATTCAACCTGGTAACAAAAATCCCCTTGGAAGCACAGCTTGCCACAGTAGGTGAGGAGATCTGAATCTGTGCACATCCGGGCCTCTCCCTGCTGCTGCTCTAGTCTGTCCACCTCCAGGCTTCCACTGGGCTCCTCTGCAGCCAAGATGCAATGTCCTTCCAGCCAGTCTGTCATCTCCGTGCACTCCCTCATAGCTTCGGGATCTCACTGGTCACCCTGATCTCTGGTGGTTGCTGGGGTGTGGGTGCTAATGGGTGCTGGCCAGGCCCTCAGGGTCTGTCTGCTGGGGTGCTTACTAGAAGGTGAATGGTGCACGGATCGGGGCTCCAGCTATCCTATAGCCACAGTGGGGGAAAGTAGGGTACAAGGGTCTGGTCTCATGCAGGGTGGGCCAGAGCAACCTGCCTCTGTGTGAGTTAGAATGCATGGACAATGAAGTGGGAGGACATGGGGAGCCACTAAAGTGCTAGGTATTCTCCACACCCTGCCCCCAAGTCCTGGCCAGACGGTCAGTGTGGGCCTTGCACAGGCAATCTGTACAGTTCAAGGCAAAGGGCACAGGGACCCCATGCTCTGTGGGGATGTCCTGCTTGCAAGAAAAATGCCCAATCCTGAGGGAAAAACAAATGACTGACAAATACCACCTTCCTTGTTTGCCGTTCTTTCTAACCCCATCCAACCTCCTGAGCTTTGACTGAGCCCTAAATGGTGACCTGGACCATAAGGACCAAGAATTCAGGAGAAAGTGGGAGTCAAGCTAATGAGATTGAGTCACTTCCCTCTGCAGACTGTTTTTATGTTTGTTAGTGCACTGGTTTCTTTGAGTGGAGAGGATTAGGTGGAGTACAAGCAGAGAGGTACACTGGATGTGCTGGAGAGGGTAGCTTCCCCTGACCAGGCTGTCTTTTCTGCCACTTCCTCCTCGGCATTACATTAAAATGGCCCCTTTCAAGGCTGAGGCGGGTGGAGCTTGTTCCCTTTCCACTGCCTCCACTGCTAGCAGAAACCCCATGATCAGTGAGGCTGGAGCCTCTGGGATGGCTGAGAATTCCCACCTCTCAAGGCAATGAGAGAACCCTGAGCAGCAAGGTGTTCAGAGTAGGCCAGTGGAGAGCCTCACAGGCACAGCTGCACAGCCCAAACCCATCCGAGGCCAAGGGTTCCTGACTTACTCTTGAGCTGCCCTGTAATAAGTAGGTCACATGGTTGGAGTTGCTTGAATGGAGGTGCCATTCCTGTACATCTATTCTCAGGCCCATCTCCACACCCACGGTGGGCTCTCCCCAGGACAGGGGTTGAAGCACCAATTTATAACTACTCAGGATCATTCATGTCCCCACCTTGCATTCCCAGCTGACTCCCCTGTCACCTCTACCCTTCCTTGATGTGACACATTTCCTTTGTGGTCTTTCAGCCTCCAGGAGACGGAAGCAGGCACTGAACATCAGTAAAGTATCAAAAGCTGCACTGGCAACTCTGATTTTCCTTTTTGAAAATCTGTCCTCACATAGGATTGAAAACACAGAAGAAATGGACAGATTCCTAGAGACGTAAAAGACATAAAAGAAGACATAAAAATTTTGAGAAAACCAATATCAGTTAATGAAACTGAAAATGTAATTTAAAAGGTACCAACAAAGAAAAGCCCAAGTCCTCATGGATTCACAACTGAATTACATTAGAAATTTGAGAAGAATTAATGGCAATACTCCTCAAACTTTTTAATGAAAATTGAAAGGGAAGCAATTCTCCCCAACTCATTCTTGGAGGCAAGTATTACTCTGATACCAAAGCAAGGGAAAGACCCAACCAAAAAAGAGAAATACAGGCCAGTCTCCCTAATAAACACAGATGCAAAAATCCTTGATAGAATACAGGTTACAGCAAATCATCAAGAAGATTATATGCCATGACCAAGTGGGATGCATCCCAGGAATGCAGAGATGGTTCAACATATACAAATCAACAAACATAATACACTGTATCAACAGAGCCAAAGATAAGAATCACATGATCATCTCAATAGATCCAGAAAAAATTTTGATAAAGTCAAACACTCATTCATGATTAAAAAAAAACCCTAAGAAAATTGGAATACATGGTGTTTATCTAAATCTGATAAAACCCATCTATGACAAACCAGCAGTCAGTATCATACTAAATGGACAAAACCTGAAACATTTCTCTCTAAAATCATGAACAAGACAAGGATGTCTACTGAGCACTGTTATTAAATATAGTTCTGGAAACTTTATCCAGAGCAACTAGACAAGAGAAATAAAGAAAATGAACAACAGGAAAGGAAGAAGTTAAATTATCATTATTTGCAGATGACATGATGCTCTACCCAGAAGACTCTAAAACCTCCACCAAAATACTTCTAGAATTAATAACCAAAGACAGATGCATAACTGGATACAAAATCAACACTCAAAAATCAATAGTATTCCTGTACACAAACAATAAATTCACTTTGAGAGAAATTAGGGAAACCACACCATTCATAAGAGCATCTGAAAAAATTAAATACTTAGGAATAAGCCTAACAAAGGAAATAAAAGGGCTATACATTTAAAATAACAGCACTCTGAAAAAAGAAATCAAAGAGAATATCAGAAAATGTAAAGACATGCCTTGTTTTTAGATCGGAAGAGCCAATATTGTGAAAATGGCCATACTCCAAAAACTGTTACACAGATTCAGTGTAATCTCAATCAAAGTACTATCAGCATATCTTACAGATCTAGAGAAAATATTCCTTAGGTTCATTTGGAAGTAAAAGAGACCTAGAATAGCAACAAAGGCAAAGCAGGAAGCATCACAGTCCCTGACTTGAAGTTATACTATAAAGCTACTGTAATAAAATCAGCATGGTCCTGGAAAAAAACCCAGACCTGAGGATCAGAACAGAAGAGAGGATGTAGACACAACTACAAACATACTCATCTACCTTATCTTTGACAAAGGAGTCAAACATGTTCACTAGAAGAAAGATAGCCTCTTTAATAAATGGTTGGGGAAAACTGGCTTTCCATATGCCAAAGACTTGAACTAGACCCATGTCTATCACCATGCACTAAAGTCAAAATGGATCAATGATCTAAATATTAAAACAGAAACCATCTACTGGAAGCGAAAATAGGTAGAAATCTGGAAGATGGAGGAGTAGGCAGACAATTCATAGAGAAAAATCAAACTGCCTGGGAAGTACTTGAAAGAATCAACAACTGGGATCTCACCTTATTAAAAAGTTTTTGTGCTTAAAAAGAAATCATTATCAGAATGAAAAGAAAACCCATGTATTGGGAAAAAAATTTAGCCAACTGTCCCTCAAAGGATTTATATCTAGAATATATAAAGAATTGAAAAAATTCAGGTCCCCCATATTCAAAGACTCAATTCAAAAATGAGTATGTCAGATGAAAACACACTTCTCAGAGTAACAAATACAAAGGGCAAATAAATGTATGAAACAATGTTCAGCATTACTGGTCATTTGGGAGGCGCAATTTAAAACAATCTCAACCCAGAAAGAATGGCCATCATCAAGAAATCAAGCAATAACAAATCCTGGAGGAACTGGGGGAAAAGAACCCTTCTCCACTGTTGGTGGGAGTGTAGATTGGTGTAACCACTGTGGAAATCAGTGTGTAGATTTCTCAAAAAACTAGGATTTGAGGTCCCATTTGACCCAGCTATTCCCCTTCTGGGTATTTTCCCAGAAGAACTGAAAACATCATACCACAGCGATATATGTGTACCCATGTCTACAGCAGCACAATTTGTAGTAGCTAAATCTTGGAAACAACACAAACTCCCATCAACTAAGAAATGGATTAAAAAAAGATGTCATATTTTTATATAATGGAGTACTACTCTGCTATAAAGAAGGATAAATTCAAGGCTTTTATAAATGAATGAGTGTAACTATAGACCATACTCATAAGTGAAATACATCAAATTTGCATGTGTAAACAACATAATATTTTCCTAGTGTAAGGAACTGAAAAAGTAAGGAAGATCCAAAATCTGCAATAGATATTGTGAAGGAGAAACAAACTGCTCAAAAGGAAAGAACATCCAGGATGGGTCAAAAGAGAAAAGAAGGAAGGAAAAAGAAATATATATATATACACACAAAAGATAGCTAAGTTAGTTATATTACTGATTTATTTTAGTTCATTAAAAAATGATTTGTGCTTATATTGTTTGATCAATTATGCATGCCTATATCTTGTAGTCTGAGCAACTACTTAGAAGCTAACTATATGCAATGTATTAATCATTGTTAATTTCCTATTATCTTGTTTTGAAATTTAGCATTTTGTTTCCTCCCTTTAAAATAAAAAATACTTAAATAAAATCAGCTGCCATAATGTTAAATGCATGTACCAATTTACCAAGATGAACTTTAGTAGCCTATATTACTAACATACACCATTTTTAAAAACTATCAGTTAGAGACTTAAAGCCCAAAATAGTCACCGGTGTGATGGGACCACAAAGGCATCTTCACACACGACTCTTCCCAACAAGAAAAACTGCATCTATCACTCATGGAAATAAAGCACACACTGTATTAACCTTTATTCTACTTTCAGATGCCGAAAAAAACCACAGTGCATAGCACTGGGTACATGGCAAAGGGCCCTGTTTATTAGATGTAACTGTCTAGGTTACATCCATTTCTCTTTTCTGCTTTGAACCTTACTTGAAACCCCGTCTAGGTTCTCCCATCCACAAGGGCATCTGCAGCCAGCTCAGATGTAAACCTTTGAGTTCTCCTCTCCAGAGTACTCAAATCATTGCAAATGGCTTCCTCTGCCTTCTAACGGGAAAATCTTTCTGCTTAAAGAATCTGTGGTTGGGTGTCTGGATGTACGAGGAGGTGTGAAAGGAGTGGCTTTGTGTCTCCCATCTGAATTCTCTGGTGATCTTTGATGGTCTCCTGGAGCCAGTCACCTTCTGATGAGGTTTTGCCCTCTGTGTGACTAAGGTATGGATCCTGCTAACACTATTTCTATGTGCATTACACTAACAGCCTTTCACAACCACACTAGACTTATTGTACCCCCCAGTGCTAACTTCCCAAAGGCTGTCCTGCACTGGTGAAATGAGAGCATTTCTCCCCTGTGCTGATTTTTCTCTGGTAAAAGAGAGCTGTCTTATCACCATTTTTCTTACATTCAACATCTATCTGAGATTTTTCAACTGTGTGAGAACTCTTATGTGTGACACAGTCAGCCTCTTCATAGAAGGCTTTTCCAGTTTCATTACCATGGAAATCTTGCTCTAACATCTGAAACTTCAGAAGCTCAGGAAGATTTTGTCTTACAACCTAAGGCTCTTATGTTTTCATAGTTTTCACATTCTTTCCAGATTGAGTTCTGTCAAACTTAATTGTGAAAGGCAAATTCTCACAGAAATTATGGCAATCTTTGTTGAATAGCACATATTATTATTCTTTTTATTTTTTTTGCACATATTGTTATTAATAAATTCAGAAGTTTCAGGCAAGTTTCTTCCTCATGAGTCACATTTGCAGGAAATGTACATTGAACAAAGTGAAACAATGTACAAATTAAATGGTTTCCCTAAAAAGTTCTGTTCATCTCTAGCTAATGTTTCATCATTGATGGATATCACTTCCTGCAAATGTTTGTCTTTTATTTTCTTGTTCTTCTTGATCAAGTCATCATATTTGTTATCTCCCAAGACTGAAAAATACAAAACATCTTATGAATGTCATACCTTTAATGGGTAGGAGTTACACACATATACCCTATGTTGCATTCTCTTCTTTGATTTCTCAAAACCAAGTAATTTAAATGTGTGTATGAACACAGATACATCTGACTCTTCTCTTAAAAACAGTGTTAATACAATGCATATAGAACAATGCACTGGTAATGAATGCACACTTATGCATTCTAGTAATGAATGTTATCTAGCATGTAACAAGATTTTCCTAAGTGGGCAGATATGAGAAAGAAAAGGAAATAGAAATCAGACTCTTATAAAAATTTATTTCAGCCACCGGGGATGTAGAGAATATGATAAACATAGCAAAGACTTTATAATAAAATAATACTTCATAATAAAAAAGATAAATTGAAAGGTAGTATTTTGGGGGGGCCTTTTTTGAGACAGGGTCTCACTTTGCAGTTCAGGCTGGCCTTGAGCTCACTTTGTAGCCCAGGCTGGTCTGAAACTCACAATGATCCTCCTGCCTCAGCCTCCAAGTGCCAAGTTTGTGAGCCACAAATCCGGCTTGAAAGGTAATATTATTAATAAAATGGGCCTGATACAGAAAAAAATTTGTTTAGGAAGTAAATTACAGTCTGATTAACTACTGTCTACATTTTTCAAGTTCCATAGGTTTCATGTCCATCAACTCTTCAGTAGCAAAGGTTAACAGCACAAACTTCTGTATGAGTACATGAAGTTTATAGCTTCTGACCCATCTTGGAGCTGTGATTCACAGAACTACAAACAAGTACAAGTACTCTAGAAATTGAGGAACAGGAAATTTAATTCTGAAATGACATTTTAGTTCACCTCTAGTTGTCATCTGTGATTTATTCTATCAGAACCACACAGTAAGTGAACCTGACCAAACCATTCTCCACTTCCACATCTCAATGGACTGCAGTTTTAAACAAGATATCATGGAATTCTCACTATAAATATGACATTTAAGAAAGGCCTGAGTTCGTTACATACTCTAAATGCCCATCCTTTGTAATTTATATTTCAAAATATATTTGTCACCTATACTTTATCTGTTAAAAATCTGTGCATGAAATTATATGTGCATACACACACTCTTGTGTGACTTTTACATGCAAATTAACAGCACTTACTTACTTTTGGTGGGGGTCAAACCCCAGGCCTTCTGTGTGGTAGACAAGTGCTCCACACTGAGCTACGTCCTCAGCCTCCACACAAGAGTGTGGAGTGAATGCTCCTGGACTTAGTAACTACGTTAGGAAACAGAACACAAATGACTGCACAAAAATCACAATGTTCCTTGCCCAAAAACCTCATGATTGTATTTTATCACTATCCCAATGGTCCTGCAATCATCTCCTTCATATTCTTTGTTTTACTAGTAATAAATGAATTCCTAAAAATCTAGTTAAGTTCTGCCGGTTTATGACCTTTACATAAATGTAGCCATTAACATATATCTATATTTTTGCTTATTATTATGGTTATAATTATTGCACAAAATTTTATGTGGCTGTATCATTCTCCCTTAAAGAATACAACTTTCTATTCTACTGTTGATTACATCAATGCCTGGCAAATATAAGAAATTTATTCATTAATATTGTCATGCAGTCCAGAGAATATAATTATAGATTCTGAAGGGTAGATGGCTAGGAAAGATCTTGCCTTGTTACAAGAATAACTGGATAGGGCTGGGGATTTAGCTCAGCAGCATAAGCACCTGCCTTGCAAGCAGGCAGTCGTGAGTTCAATCCCTGGTACTGATAAAAAAAAAAAAGAAGAACTGGATAACTCTCCCTCATTGCATAGAGGTTCCACAGGTGCCATCTTCTGGAACACTGTCCTAAATCTCTAAATTCTGAATTCTGACCTGAATTTCTTGCAACTCTATCTCTCCTGCAAAACTACTGACCCCAATCTCTGACCTTCAGCAATAGAGCTCTCCTTACGTGAGCACTTCCTGTTCATGTAGCCTGCTCTCAGTGCAGTGACAAACCAACTGTCAGTGATTTTATCCCATGAATTCATCACCCAAGTCACAACCTCTTGCAGGCTGAGCTTCCCAAAGTTTCCATGCTGTTTTTTCTCCATTGTGTTTTCATTGTAGTCACTGATTTCCATGTGCATACGATCCTTGAATGGCTTGTTCATTGCAATATTGAGAGTCTGGAGATAGGCAGTTGTTCCTGTGGGAATCATTATTTGATCTATTCTTTTCTCTATTCTTCATGTCTTTAGTATGGTGAGGGCTAGCTGAATCCCAGACTAGCAGCCTACCTCAAAAAACAAGTGGCTGTATTCAATCAACCCACTTCCTGATAACTATTCGTGTGTACCAGCCTTTTCTGGTTTCAAGAAGATAAATGCCTGACACACACTCACTCTTATCTTTCTTACTGTTAGTGATGATTACAGGTGCGACTTTCTCTGCATTCAGATGAACTGCCACACTACAGATAACACATGCACTTTCACTACCAATCAAAAGAACGTAGACTGACAAGGTGCCCTCTGACCCACTGTCATTTGAGATCTGTGGCCCATAAACATGACAGTCTCAACCACAGCAGTCACACTGGGAAGCTGATATTTAGATGTCAGGGCCATCAACAAAGGACTTGAATGCAAGTGCACATTTAATAACTACAGTATTTTCCAGCTTGAGCAGTGCTGATGGTCTCAGAGACAGAGCCTGTTGCCGAAAGAAGCCGTCCAGCCAGAGCTGTGACAGCCTGAATTCATCTGAGGATATTTCTAGCTGTGGTGCCACTGCAAGGGCAAATGCCTGTGTATCAGCCCTGTGCACAAGCGGACTTTGCTGTCCTCTTAGCAGCCTGCTCACAGGTGATGTCTTCCAGCTCAGGAGGGAACGGCGGCCGACCTGACTCACACCTGTGTTTCTTAGCATTTCACTTGTCTGCATGTTGACTGAAGTTATTGTACTCCAAGCACCACTGCCGCACCATTCAGAGATCCAACTTTTCCTTAGAAAGAGCTGTAACAGTCTTGCCCTGGAGTCTTCTGTGATTCCTTTCCTGTACTGGACGGAAGAGCTCTTTCTTTCTTTTTGGTACCAGGGATCGAACTCATGACCTCGCACTTGCCAAGCAGGTGCTTATGCCACTGAGCTAAACCCCGGGCACTAGATCTTTCTTTTTGCATCCATCTTGTCTGGGGGTCAAAATATCATTCCCTTTAAAACTACTATTAAATCAAGTGCTAACTGGAGACTTACAAAACATCAGTGACAAAAATGATGATAAGTAAGAACTGGCCCATGCAGAGTGACAAAAAACTGCAAGCATCAAATTACAGAAAACCTTTATTTCACACAAGCACATTAAGTACATCCATTACAACACACATTGTATTATGCAAATTGATATGAGACACAATCATGTCTTCAGTACCAACTACACACACATTATTCTTGAGTTGTATCTGTACTATGAGTAATCATTCAACACTTAAGTCTCGAGTTGGTTTGTTTACATGGGCATTTACCTCTCCTGCAAAGGCACTTGTTTAGGTATTTACAAAAACTTTATTATAATTTATATTATCTAAATGATCTAACATATTATCTAAATTATAACATATATTATCTAAATTACAATTAAGCATTAATTATATTTACATTTTAAAAATTTTTTTGCCCCTATTAACAAACTCATACATTTTTATAAATATTTTATAAATATTGTCAGTACTATTTATAGTTACATTGTAATATTTTCTAATTCAGTAAGTTCATCATGTATTCCAATGGACATCTTGAATGCATTTGTCTAGCTGACCATCTTAACTGGGGCTTATTTTGGAGGTAAGGGGTTATATTAAGAGCTTCTTGAAAAATCATACTAGGGCTTATTTTCAGCTTAGGTCCTGTTTTAAGGGAAATACTAATGTATGTTATGGGGACTACTAATATATGAATCCCTAAAAATATAGCTCAGTTTTGGCTGTTATGACCTTTATGTAAATGTAATCAGTAACACATATCTGTATTTTTTGTTTATTATTATGTTTATAATTGTACAAAATTTTATGTGGCTGTATCATTCTCCTTTAAAGAATACAACTCTCCATTCTGCTGTTGATTACATTAATGTCTGGCAAATGCAAAGAATTTACCCATCAATATGGTTATGGACTCCAGAGAATCTACTTACAGATTTTGAAGGATATATAGTTAGGAAAGCTCTTGCCTTGTCACAAGAATAACTCATTTCACAGAGTTTTCACATGTTTAATTTCCATCTGTGGATATGACGTCCAATAACCCAAGTCCTCATTAGAACTTGGCATTTGTTAACACTGATTTCACATCATATCTATAATTTTACTTTGAATTTTATTTTGCATTCTATGAAAACTAATGTAACTGAATGCATTTTCAGATTTACTGGCCTTGTAGAAAGTTCGAATTTTTCTGCCCATTTTTCAGTGAGGTCATTCATCTTTTCCTACACTGACATATAGAAATTCCTTACTTTTTCAGGTTAGTTGTTCCTTTCTAAATTACTTGTACTATATACCTTTTTTTCCACTTTATGGCTTTTCATTATTTTAAATATTTTCTCTTATAAACAAAAGTTAAATTTTTAATGGAATCGTATTTGTTAAATCATTTCCATTTGACTGGTATTTCTGTAGCTTTTGTCTTTTCAAAAACATCTTGCAACTGAAAGGTTTTAAGCCCTAAAGTGATCATTTGGAGTCTGCTCCCACAGAGTTCGGCTACTGCTCAGCAGCTCACCTGGGTGACTCTGGTTTGAGAGTTTCTCATCTGAGAACCAAGATGCTTCCCTTTGCTGCAACCTGAAGATCAAGTCTGGTCTGAAAATGCAGTATATTGATAACAGAGAACAGGTGAGTGTGGGGAGTGGCAGAAGCTGGAGATCAATCAGCTTCAGCCTGAACACAGCCCAAGATGAGCCACATGAACAAGCTGTACCAGCTCTGAAAACACGCAGAGCCCGAGGCAGTCCAAACAAATGGGTTGCTGGGCAAAGGGCTGTCAGGTGATATGAATCTGCTGAGTGTATAAATAAAAACACTTGGAGGTCAGAGGTTGTTAAGCAGGTTATTTTTTTCCATCAAGAGAGAAGGTTCCACCTGACCTTGGCTTTCTGCATTCTGACTTGCCTTTATCTCTTCAACCTCCACTGCCTTGCACCCCGAAAATTTCAAGAGTTACACTGGACGCTGCAGGTGAGGGCTCAGGCCAGACACATTAGCTTTTGATCTCCAAGTAGAAAAAGGCATCAGGTACAGCACTATGCAGGTCCTGGCTTGAATTCACCATAGGGAGCAATAGGGTTTAGTAACTTTACTCTCCTGAATGAAAAGCCGAAGTAACACGAAACTTTTCAATTGTTCACAAGCCTCAGCCTCTGTGAAGAAGAAGTCTACTGTATGGACTTGCCAGGGTAAATGTGGTTCAGAGGCTCACCCAGGGAGGCGAGGTGGCATACAGGGTCCTCTGAGCAGGGCCCATGTGCCACCACTCCTCCTGGCTGAGCCCCACAGTCACGTCCTCCAGGTACCACACTCATCTGTCAGGAATTACAAGTGGACAGAGGAAACACTCTGAAAACATTCTTACTATATTTACTATAAAGAATTTAAAACAAGTGAATAGAAAGTCAATTCTGGATATGATACACTTTGCAGGTACTCACATATTAAAACATGTATAATAATTGGTCAATATTTATGAGTATATACATGAACTATGAATACTAGTAACACCTTGATTTTTGAATTTTATTTTTGTAGCCAAAGCATGTACATAATCCTTGTACATTTTTTTCCTACCGTCAAGCAGACTACAATAAATGTACTTGGCAAATTATGGTCTGTCAGTCACATTCATCATTTTGCATTGTGTATGGGTTTTTGTTTTTTGTTTTGGGGGGTTGTTTCTTTTTTTTGTTTTTGTTTTTTTGAGTGGGAAGCAAGAACCAAGACCAGGGATTGATGCATAGAACTTCGAAGTGAGCTATACCTGAGCGGGACTGGACTCAGTGATCTTCCTGCCTCAGCCTCCATGTCTATGGAGTGTTGAGAGGGCAGCATTGAGAAGTCATCAGAGCCCTGCTGAACCCATTTACTGCACAACCAACGACAAAGGAAAGTTGCTAACCTCGGTACTAAACAATCCAATTTAAGAAAAGACCAAAACATAAAAATAAAACACACCTTACAAAATAACAAATAAAGCCCATTTTATAAACCCGGATATAGACAGACTGAAAAGGAATATTACACAAAGTGTGAACGACCTGACATGAACATTCCCAGCCCAGGCTGAACAAAGTGATGCTCTGCTTTGCATTTCAGCGCTGATACGTAAACAAGTGTCCTTTTCTCATTTTACTCAGTACCTTGCTTTTCTGCATTTCTGTGCTTTATCTCCACGATTCTCCTTTTTAAATGGGCTCTGTATGCTGTGTGCACTGAAGTGCTGTGTTGTGTTTTTAAGTGTGTGAAGGATGTTAGACGCTTCATGGAGAAAACGCTGGAGCTTCACTCAGACATTACTTGTGGAATCACTGGCCATTTGTTCATAGTTTCTGATCAATAATAATATTAACTAAGATGTCAGGTGTAAGAGTGTAGCCCTGTAATCCCAGGATTCTGGGAAGCTAAAGCAGGAGAATTGTGAGTTTGAGCCTGGATTACTCAGAACTTGTCTCTAAATAAAAAATAAAAAGGCTAGGAAGCTAGCTATAATGGGTGATACATTGTATCAAGTTGAAAAGCTTAGAAGTATAACTAAAGGACTCAGCAGGGGCCCAGGATCCTCACTTCGTGAACATCAGGAGTACACCAAGGTAGAGTGCTAACCTGCCCTGTAGTCTGCTTACTATATAAGAAAGGAAAAGCACCTGCTCCTGCCATATTTTTTCTCTTGCTTCTTTTGGTATCTTCTGCTGCCTAGAACTGTTGTCCCTGTGCCATGCCACCCTATCTTAGAGTCAGCTAATTACTGACTGAAACCTCTACAAACTGTAAGCTAAATAAACCTTTCTTTCCTTAATTTTGAGTGTCAGGTATTTTGTCTCAGTGATAAGAGAAAAGTAACTAAGACAGAAGCCTAGTCTGAAATCTCCAGAACTGTCCCCTGCCAGAATAAAAAAATGCAATACTGGCATAAAAAAATTTAAATCTAGAGAAATTTAGAATCACAAAATAAAACTATATTAATCATTCAATAAAGGAAAAATAGTCTTCAACAAGTATTACTAAGATAATTGGGCTGCCACATGCAAAAGAAAAAAGTTGCTATATTAAAAAATTGTCTCAAAATACTTCAAAGACCTTAATATAAACTTAAGCTATGAAATTTTTTTTAAGCTATGTAATCTTAGAAGAAATAAAAAATAAGACATCATGTCCATGCATTGGACAGTGGCTTTCTAGATATGCCATCAAAAGCACAACAAATCAAAGAAAACAATAAATTTGACTTCATCAAGATTAAAAGCTTTTGTATCAAAGGATACTATAAAAAAACTATCATGACAGTAAAAAGAAAAACAATACATTGGATAGCATCTTCAAAAATGATTAACACATAGCCAGTTACCACACATGCAAAAAATTTTTTAATATCATTAATCATCAGGGAAATGCAAATCAAATCCCAAATAAGATTCATTTCATAGCTATAAGGATAACCAACATTTTTTAAAAAAGAAAAATAACCAGTGGTGACAATAATGTGAAGAAAGTGAAGCCCTAACACACCACCGCTAGCTGGAATGTAAAATGGTACAGCTGCTATGGAAAACAGGGCGGCAGTTACTGAAGAATATAAACATAGAGTACCACATGACTCTGAAATACCACTCCTAGATTGTTCCCAACAGAGATAAAAATACGTCTACCTAAAACTTTGCACATGTCTGTTAACAAGAACATTATTCTTATGATCCAAAAGACAGAAACAACCTAATCTTCATCACTGGATGAATGGCTAAAAAAATGTACAGTCACATGATGGAGTATTGTTATAAAAAGAAGCCATACCCATTATATACTAGAAGATGCATGAACCTTGCAAACTGTATGCAAAAGGAAAGAAACTATTACAAAACATGTATCAGTTCATTTATTAGCAGTGTCCAGAAGAGGCAACTGTATAAAGACACAATGCAGCTTATCTGGTACTGGGGTCAACTATGTCCAGGAGGGGAGTAACAGGGAAAGATACAGAGTATCTTTCTGAAGTTTTGAGAATGAACTTGGCAATGGTTACATATCTCTGTGAAGATACTGAAAATTACTGAATTGTATACTTCAAATGTATAAATTATATAGTCATATGAATTCCTCTACAAAATGTGTTTTTTTAAAAAGGATGCTGGAAGAAATAGGATTATTTTGGTTCTCTATAACCTATTAAAGAGTCTAATTCATAAGTAAAAACCAGCCACAAGAATAAACCAAGGCCAGATTGCTCCATAGGTATATTTTTCTAAATACAGAAAGAAGAAATAACAGTAATCTTCAAATACTGAGATAGAAAATGAATAACCACTTCCCAACTAAGCTTGTGAGAGCATAAAGTTGATGTCAAAACCATACAAGATACTCCATCAAAGAAAAGGTACAGGACAGTGTCTCTCCCTAATGCAGACCTAAAGGTGTTAACTGGAGCACGACCCGCTGAATCCAGAGAAGCAGGAAAAGAACAACACAGTGCAGCCAGGCATTCATCAGCCCAGCAACAGAAACCACCTGGATGATTCTCTTCCCTCCTTCTAAAATCCACGACACCAAAGCATGCCAAGAAATAACTCACCTGAGATGTGTTCTTTTTCTGCTGCTCATGGAAGAGTGCAGAGAACTGAGAAGGATACGCTGAGGACAGAGAGGTGAAAGGTGTCCTCGGCTTGCATACCCCTCTGCCTGACACCGCACTGCACCTGCAGGGGAGGAGTCCCCTAAGGAGAAATGTACCGGACCCTTGAGAACCCCTTGAGAACATTCCAAATATGTACGGCTGTAATATGATCACGCGGACATAACCTTATGTGACTGCAATTATTTTTTTACTAATTTATTTTAAAAGTTTCTTTAAAAGTCTGAAAAGAAATCACAAACATTCATCTTAATACCCTACAATTCACACATGAAAAAAATCAATAGAAAAATTTCAAAAGGGAAGTTTATAAACAGGATATTTAATACATAGGGGCAGTTGTTCAAATGCACTTAGGGACTCACCTGTATGAAGAAACAGGACTACTCTGCTGCTTGGCGTGTCCCAGGAGACCACGGGCAAATCGTTATCTCCTGCCCATTTTTTAAGGTTTCGAAGCAATCAGGAGCAAACTCCTGCCTTGTATTACCATTCCGTGATTCTACAGGCTCAGGTCACCCAAGTCAAAGGCATGGATCAGGAGGTGGGAGGGAAGACAGAAGGAAAAGGGGCTACGTGAGGAGAACGGCGAGGAAATGTCCTCATCCTGATGGCCATGCCCTCCTCGGAGACCACGGAGAAGAGCCTACCAAGAAAGTGGATTTTTCTTCTTGATGGTCACCCACTCCTCTCCACCACGGCTCACCTCCTTCTGCGGCCTGGTTTGCAGGCCAGCTCAGTGTCACACAGTGGAGATGGCTTCTGGATGTGGAGACATCAAGCCTGGCTCTCTCTAGGCTGGGGGCTGACCCACTACTTCTGGGGCAAATCAGGACCCCACCCCAGCCAGTTCCCTGGTTCTCTCTGGGTTCTTCTGCATCTGGTGAGGCGGCCTCTCTCACAGGCCTCTTCTTACATGTGGGATTTTCTCTTAAGCTGCTTCAGCCAGAACTGCTCTGTTCCCGAACAGTCAGGACTCAGGCCTGGGGAACAAACTTACTTTAGCTGACACATAGGAGAGCAGTGTTCTCTACCTGGGCACTAATGATAATTGGCAGTTGCATAATTCTTTGTTGTGGGGCATGTCCTGTGCACCCAGGAGCTTCGGTGGGCAACCCATAGATGCTAAGCCCTCCTCTCAGTTATGAAAAATGGTCACACACGTTTCCACAGTCCTTTCGGAACCTAATCACCCTGACTGAGAACCACGGATGCAGGGCCTGTAACCTGATTCTGTTAGAACTCACCAGAACTGCTCACACTGGAAATGGGACTGGTGTCCCACCCTGAAATAACATTTGCATAAACTGAGAGCACACAGTATGTCCTCTAAGTTACTTCTGTAACTTTTTCAGTTTTTCATGCAGTTGCTATAACATTAAATATCACACTTGAGTCACATTCTGTTTCCATGAGACAGTGGTGCCGCAGAGTTATCAGGCGATGTCTTCCGGACAATGCAGAGGTGACAAGAGCTTCAAACCAACCCAGGGGCCCTGCCATCAGCAGCAGACCCAAGTCAGACCTCTGACTTCACAAGCTTCCCCCTGCCTGACCTGGGCAGTGCAGCGCATCTGTACTGCTATCTGGGGTTCCTTTGTGACACTGAGCCTGCCGTTTTAACCCTCATTCTTCTTGTAACCACACAGCTGTAACTGTAACTAGGATGCTTGTGAGGATTGCATGAAATACAGGCGAAAAGAAAAAGCATCTTCCTAGCACGAGAGGAGCCGACCCCCCCCCCCCCCAGGCTTCTGGGCAGCCCGGGGCTGAGCGCTGTCTGGAGGATGTGCCCTCTCCACACCAGGCCGCGACGCTGCCCTACCTAAGGACTCCTGTGCTGAGGAGATACCGGAGTCTCGGGCCTGCTTGCAGGTTCCTGGTCAGTGAATCACATACCCCTCCCCTGGCGGATGCCTCGAACACCCAACCAAGGTCTCAGGGTTCCGCTGCATTCTGGTCTTGCACCCCGCCCTGGCACATTGCTAGCAGAGGCAGGGTTTCCTTGCCCTCATTTACCTCAGCCCTGAACACAGGGTGCTGGGGACCCAGGAGAAGGCAGGTGGAGATGGGGTAAGGGGGTCAGCCAGGTGAGGCCAAGCAATGAGGCCTCCTGCTCCCAGTGGGACTACATTTCCCACAAGGCTTTGTGCTCGCTCCGCCTTTATATTTATTTATTTATTTATGCCTTCTTTTGTTTTCCGTTTTTATTTTCGTCTTCCAAAATTTCACTTTGGTCTTTGGAAGAAAAAACTATTGCCAGCCTATCTTGTTACCTAAAAGGCAGATTCTGGCAGAGCTTCTGAATATGTCCTAGATGAATAAATCAAGAGATCTACGTGTGCAATAGGACTAAATCAATATTATGGTTTGTGTCGAGATGTTCCCCACAACCTCCTGCAGTTTTAGATGGGACTCTTTTGGAGATAGCTGAATCAGAGTTTGTGATTGATTCAGGATTCAATATTTGGATTAAGTGTGCTGGGACTAAGAGTGGGTGATCACTGGCTCTGACCATTGATTGGATTGGTATCACCCTAGTCCAGGTAGACTGGATACAATACAAGGCACAGATAGAGGCTCATCCCTCCTCTCTTGTTGCTTTTGCTGTATTCCATAGCCATGAACTGTTGCCACTCTGCCATGTGCAACCACCTATTTATGGACTGAAATCTCTACAAACTGAGCTAAACAAACATTTCTTCCTTTACATTTGGGTGTCAGGTATTTTGTCTCAGCAACAAGCACAAACAACTAAAAACAGTCAATAACATTGTATTTGGAAGTTTTGCAGAGTGTAAAATTTGAGTGTTCTTACTGAAAAAAAATGTACATTAATTTGCTTGACTATATACCCTTACACAACATGTAAGTACAAATAGTTTCCAACTTACGATGGTTTAACTAAGGATATTTTTACTTTATGGCTATGTAAATGCCACACACATTCAGTAGAAATTACACCCTAAATTTGGAATTTTGGTCTACTTCTAGGCCAGGGGCCTGTGCAGGACACATTTATGCAACACATTATACAGGAGGAAACTGCAGCTGTCAGTCAGCCACACACAAGCATAAACACTGATACTTTACAGCCTGAAGTGCTGCCAGTGTGTTCAGAGCAGTGTGCTTTATATTTTCATTTTCTTCCATATCTTTAATGAATTACATAAGATACTCAACACTATTATAAAATAGGCTGTGTTAGATCCTTGTGCCCTGCTAGGGGCTAATGGAAGTATTCTGAACACATTTAATGTAGCCTAGACTAAACCATGAATGGATCAAACACATTTGGAACTTACAGTAAACCCCACTTACGATGGATTTATGAGGGGATGACCCACCAAAATTGATACCAAACATCACATTGCACACCTTAAATAAATAAAAGCAATTTAAAAAATCTTATGGGGTGGGGATTTAGCTCAGCGGCATAAGCTCCTGCCTTGCAAGTGTGTGGTTGTGAGTTCGATCCCCAGTACCGATAAAAGACAAAAAAAAAAAAAAATCCTATACTTAGCAAAACTGATTTTCAAAAATTAGGAAGCATTCTCAGACTGTACAGAAAATATGCCCCGTCCCATCCAGGATACTTCAGTTTCTCAGCTGCCCAGTTAACAGTTCCTGTTCCAGTGGCTTCTGTCTCCTAGAAACTGTTGGTCACTGTGATGCACACCTGTCACCACGATGCATGTTGTCAGAACCAATCCGACTGATAACCCATTTTTCTCTGTACTTCCTGATTGCTTATCTCATACAAGCTCTAGACCACCAGAGATCAGGGCCTGATATTCTGGGAATGATTCTAATCACTTATCACTGACATAAACAAATCTGCCTCTCAATACTGGGTGTTGTTTTGGTGTTTCTGATTGCTGATGCAAGATAAATAAAAACAGAAGGGATTTATTATGTCTAAATTTTCTGTAAGAAATTCTGAGTCCTTCAGGTTTAAAAGACACTAGATAATAACAAAACCCTTATGCGGATTTAAGGACCTCTCATAAAGGGAAATTATATAAAAGTATCATTGTAACTATGTTACCTTTTTCTACATGGTTTATGACACTAATGTATAAAAATCATTACAGTAGAAGACATGCTATAACTGACCCTCCTCAAAGAATTCCTTTATTCTTTGAACACATTCATTCATCACTCTTGCCACTTCCTAAAACAGTTCTGACAGTGTGGTGTTTTTCACCGCGCTGCTGTGGCTGCCTCCGTGTCCTGAATCCATTCAGAACATTTACCTTCCTGGTCATTTTGCCTTTGCAGAAACAGGATGCCGGATCCAGAGAATAAGGTGGATGAAGACGAATCTTAACGTTGCATGGCCCGACTCTTCCTCAGATGACACTTCACAGCAGCAGTCACTGTACTTTTGATCACACCTTGTAAAGACACAAAAGAGGACTTCCAGGATTGCTTCATAAAGGGGAGCATTTTGAGGGGGACTAAAGGTAATTTTTTTTACTGAATTGAAATTGTTTTATTCAAACACTGTATTTTTTATCAGCCCTGTATGTTAGTGTGCAAATCACATCTTCACAGATTGTATTTTTATTTACTTGTCATCACTGCTGTACTGAGGTGTGATCTCCCTCTAGAATAGTTGTACATCTTGGGGGTAACTCTTCTGCACTGTAACAGAACCCAAGGCTGACGGCCCTCCAGGCCAGTTCTGACTCAGAAAAACTAGTGTCAGAAGTCAGAGGAGCAGTGGGGAGTCACACAGGGGTCTTCTTCCGCCTTTGTGGAAACTCACGTTTGTCAGGAAATGGACACTTAAGAGTATTTTGGGATAAATCACATCTGCCAATTGACAGAAGACCAGATATTTCAAAATTTTTAGCAATAATTTTGACAAAATGATGTCACCACAGTATGAATAACCCTCACACATTTCTAACGTCAAGGCTGACTGTCCCTTAGGCCTAATTCATTTTATTATGTGATCTCTGTTTAAATTCCCTTAAGGGACACAGACACCTTGAGTTTTGATAATTCCAGTAAAACTGTAACAGTGATAGATCTTAGTTACTGATCATTTACTATGTCAGGCAGTGTGTTTTTGTTTTTGTTTTGGTACTATGGATCAAATTCATGACCTTGTGCTTGCCATGCAGGTGCTTAGGCCACTGAGCCAAATTCGGGCCGTCACGCATTGTTTTAAGCAAGGGGACACAATTTTAAGTTCTAAAACTAATGAAATACCGAGCAAGTGCAATGAACATATCCAGACATAAACACACAACTCAAAAAAATTCACATTCAGTGCTCTAATTCACATTGTGCTGTTTATTTTTAAGTTTTTATTCTAGTGAATGTTTATTAATCAATACTATACACTGTTTTCACATCACACATGAAATAAATAAACACTTTAAATAAAATTTCTGGATAAAGGTTATTACTTACCTTTCTCAAACTGTTACTTTTCCTTTGTACGTCTGAGCAATAAGGAAGTTTGATGACTTGTTGAAACTTACACATTCAATACTCAGTTATAAGACATAAGATGCCATCTTTTGGTGAGGATTTTCTCTCCATATATTCAAACATTAGATTTGAGCCCTAGGAGTTACCTGACTGACAAGGAGGAGCTATAAATAGATATTGTTGGAAGCATCTCCAGATGACTTTTCCGATATACAAGGAGTTCAGATGTCCACAGAACTGTCACAGGTTTTCAGTAAGAGTGAGTTTTTAATATGAAGCACACCAAATCCTGTAGAAGCTCAGTGGAGTTTACTTTCTGGATGTAAAAAGCCCAGCAATACACATGGAGGGGGAACTCATTCCACACAGCCAGTTTTTGAAACTATTTCTCACCATTTTATATGCTTTTGAATTCAAGGTATGAACCAGAAGTAATCTCCATTCCATTCCAATGAGGACTGGAAGACGATACTGAAAACTTGAGAGATACATTTAATAAGGCTCATTATAACTGATCCCAACATTCTGTTAGATAGAGTTTAACCTTATGATCCATTTGGGTAACAGACTGGTTGTGAAACTTCGGCCAAGTGTAGCACAGGATGAACAGAAAGTGCTTATGGTAAGTGCTTTAACAGTAATTATATACGGGTCTCACATTTGTATAGGTCAGACTGAGATTGAATTACATTAGATTTCTCCACATCCATCATTTCTTCCTTTCTGTATACACTCAGATCTTTACCCTTTACGTACTTTGTGCTGTGGTATAAAAGTCTATATTAAATCAGCACATTTCTAGATTTTTCTCACTGCAATTCCTTTGAAGAACAAATTTTGATTGATCACACAAAATCTTCATATTTTATTTTCAGAGAGATTTTCTACAGCACAGGTTTTCTGAGGATTGGATTCACAAGGTTATTTTCTGTATTATCTTTAAAGTGCTTCTTTATGGAGTTTTTTGATAGCCAACAATATTTTCACTGACTGAAAGACTTGCTTACATTTCCCATACTTTTTACATTCATGTATTTACTCCTGTGTGGGCCTTCTGGTGTTCTCTTAGGTTTGATTTCTGGCTGAAAGTTTTCTCACATTTATCGCACTTATAAGGTCTCTCCCCTGTGTGAGTTCTCTGGTGTACTCTGAGGTTAGATTTCTGACTGAAAGCTTCCCCACATTGGTTACAATTATAGGGCTTCTCACCTGTGTGAGTTCGCTGATGCTTTCTGAGAACTGACTTCTCACTAAAAGCCTTTCCACACTCTTGACATCCATAGGGCTTTTCCCCTGTGTGAGTTCTATGATGTCCTCTGAGATTTGATTTCTGCCTGAAAGTTTTGCCACATACATCACATTTGTAAGGTTTCTCCCCAGTATGAGTTCTGTGATGTACCCTGAGGTTTGATTTCTGACTAAAAGCTTCCCCACACTGATTACATTTATAGGGTTTCTCTCCTGTGTGAATTCTGTGATGACCTCTAAGTTGTGATTTCTGACCAAAACCTTTGCCACACTGATTGCACTTGTATGGTTTCTCTCCGGTATGTGTTCTATGGTGTTTTCTTAAGCCTGATTTCAGTTTGAAAGCTTTCCCACAATCATCACATTTATATGGTCTCTCCCCAGTGTGAGTTCTCCGATGATTCCTTAAGCCTGACATATGGCTGAAAGATTTCCCACATTCACCACACTCGAAAGGCTTCTCCCCTGTGTGCGTCCTCTGATGTACTATAAGGATTGACTTATAGTTGAAAGATTTCCCACATTCAACACACTCAAAGGGTTTCTCCCCAGTGTGAGTTCTCTGATGTATCCTTAGGCCTGACTTTGCACTGAAAGCTTTCTCACATTCGTCACATTTATATGGCTTCTCTCCAGTGTGAGTCCTGTGATGCTTTTTCAGACGTGACTTCTCACTGAAAGCTTTCCCACATTCATGACATGTGTAAGGTTTCTCTCCTGTGAGGTTTTTCTGAGGTGGTCTCAGATGTGAATTCATAGAGCAGGATTTTCCATGTTCACTACACTCAGAGGGTTTCACCTTTGTATGAGTTCTGTGATGTACACTAAAATTCAAAGGGCAGCCAGCAGTCTCTGTACCTGTGCTACCTGCTGGGTGAGTTCTCTGACGTGTTAGGAGGGCTGAATTTTGGTTGGAGATGTTTCCATTCTCAGAGTGCTTTATCTTGATGTGAATTTTCTGCTGTTTTCTGACGTGTGACTTCTGGGTGAAAGATTTTCCTGCTGGGTCAGTTTTCTGAGCAGTCCTACTGAAACCATTTCCATTTCCATGAAACTCACAGTGACTTTTATCTGGACAAGTGCTCTGACAGACAATAGTTGATTTGTCATGCAAATTTTCCCCAAACCTATTACATGTGCAAGATTTCTCTTTTTGGAAGGCACTCTGAGATGGATTAACAGCAGCCTTTACCAGGAAAGCTTTTTCATTTCCATTATATTTAAAACCTTGTCTTGAATTCTGAACTGTCTGATGCTGAATAGGTTCTACTTTACAACTGCGGTCTCTCTCTCCAGTACCCTTTCTGCAGTCTTTAATGTTGAGTAGCAAGCTTTCAGGGCAGCTAAGATCACCAGCCTTTTCTGCTGAATACTGTGAGTGTGAGGCCAATGAGTCGAGACCCCGGTTCTCGAGCCCTGCAGGGTCACACTGACCAAGTGCCAGCCTTGCAGGTAAAACATCTATGTCTGAATCATGTGGTTTTCTGAAAGTTTCTTGGTCTGTAATCAGTGATCTGCTGGTGAATGCAACTTGCCGCAAATGTTTGTCCTGATGTTCTGGGCTCTTCTCTAAGAGTTTATCAGGTTGGTAGTCTTCTAAAAATGAGAACAATAAAAATACTTCATGATACTTCACACAGCTTATGAATAGGGCTTACAAAATGTGACTGAAATATACAATGTTCAGGTTTCTAAAAATAAGTACCACCAAAGACCCATTACTGTTTATAACCCTCTAGGTACTCCCCCTTAAATTGAATACTTATGCCATCATTTTTGACACTTTCTTAGGAAGTTCTCAAATCCTCTTTGGTGAGAGTCTTCACAAGGTGTGACAAACAGTACAGCAAAGGCTGCTGCTGAGTGTCATTCAAGAGAAGAGGAAGCTCCTAAGGACTCCACACTCCGTTCTCATTCACTTTACCTGGCAATGTGCACCTTTTAGTTCTTCTGCAAGTTCTAAATGACCACAAAATGTCAAGGTTTTGAATTAAGCCAGCACATCCAGGGAATCAGGACAATGCAAGGAAGACAACACAGAGAGCAGGAAGAACTCTTGGTTTAAAAAACTTTTTATACTAGAAAGTAGAAGTCAATGTATTTGACATCTTAAAATATAATTTTCAAAACAGAAGAGAGAAAAGAAACAATTAAGAGTGGAATTTATTTACAGGACTTGAGATCCTGAAACCAAAAGCTCAGAGAATGTCATCAATTCAACAAAGGTTATCAGCACTAAATTCATAACAACAAAATCAAAAAACACCAGGTTGCAGTGGATTAAGCTGAATAGGGTTTTCACTACAATGTAACACTAGATCTTCTTTTATTTTTATTTTTCTGTTGTGGTACTTGTTATTGAAACAAGGGCCTTTACTCTGATCTACTTAGGTCACTAAATTACCACTCTGGGCTCAAACTTATGATCCTACTGTCTCAGGCCGGCATTACAGGCATGCACCACAATGCCACATTGGAGGCTAGATCCTTGTTCACTTAAATTTTACAATGGTTGGGTAAATATTAACTTACATGATGCCAATTAGAGTGCTGCTTTTTCTATTCTATTCACCCATATCAAAATTAAGTGGAAAGATATCCCTTATTCACGGATAGGAAAAGCCAACATAATAAAAATGGTCACATTCCCAAAATTACTATACAGTTTTAATGTAATTTCAATCAAGATACCATTAGCATACCTCACAGAACTACAGAAAACATTCTTAAAATTCATTTGGAACCAGAAGAGACCACGAACAGCAAAGGCAATCCTGGGCAACAAAGGCAAGGCACAGGGCATCAGAATCTCTGACTTGAAATTATACTACAAAGCTACTGTAATAAAATCAGCATGGTATGGGTGGAAAAAAAAAACACCAGAGGATCAGTGGAATAGAAAATACAGATGCAACTCCAAACACATTCAGCCACCTTATTTTTTAAAACCATTCCAAACATGTTCACTCAAAGGATAACCTCTTTAATAAATGGTGCTGGAAAAACTGACTTTCCACATGCCAAAGACTTGAACAAGACCCATGTCTATCACCATGCACCAAAGTAAAGTCAAGATGTGTCAAAGATCTAAACATTAAAACAAAAACACTAAATCTACTCGAAGAGAAAGTAGAAAGAAACCTTGAAGACATAGGTGTAGGAAGAGAATTCATGAACAAAACCTAGATCATATGGGAAATACTACAAAGAATCAATAACTGGGATACTGCCCTACTAAAAAGCTTTTTTTATAGCTTATTTCTTTTGCACAACAAAAGAAATCAACAGAGTGAAAGATGAAAACCACATAGTGGAAAAAAATTATAGCCAGTTGTCTCTCAGACAAAAGACTTATAAAGAACCGAAAAAATTATCCCCTCAAATTCGAAGTCCCAACCCAAAGATGGGCATCTGAGATGAATGTATACTTCTCAGATGAAGAAATACAAATAAATTTGTAAAAAATTTTCATCATTGGTTTTGAGAACTCACCTGGGGAATTCCTGCTTAGACATTCTTTCCCTTTACCTAACAACAACCATGGATCATTTCCTTGTTCCAATGTGGAGATGAGTTCTGGCTTTGTAAAGCAGTACCCTGTAAAGAAGGAATAATATAGAGGTTGAGTCAGTGACATAGATTCCCCGATTGCACAGAAACTACCACAAAGAATCAACAACTGCGATCTCACCCTACTGAAAATCTTTTGCACAGCAAGAGAAACCACCACAGAGTGGAGAGATGGAGAGACAATCCACCGTGTGGGAAAAAATGTTCTCTAGCTGTTCTTCAAAGGACTACTATCAAGAACATATAAAGAACTCAAAAAAAACAAGACTCCCCATCCAAATTTAAAGACCTAATTCAAAAGTGGACATCTGAGATGAATATATACTTGCAACAAAGATGAAGAAATACACACAGAAAACAAATTGATGAAAAAATATTTGACATCATTGGTCATTCAAGAGATGCAAACTAAAACAATACTCAAATTCTATCTTACCCCAAAAGAACAGCTATCATCAAGAAATCAACCAATAACAAATGATGGCATGGCAGGGATGTGGGAGGAAAAGGAACCCTTCTCCAGTTGGTGGGAGTGTAGATGGGTGAAACCACTGTGGAAATCAGAGCAGAGATTCCTGAAAAAACCAGGACTACAAGTGCCATTTGACCCAGGCATTCCTCTCCTGGGTATCTTTCCAATAGAATTAAAACAGCAATATATACATATCTAAGTTTATAGTGACACAGTTTGTAATAAGCAAATCTTGGAAATAACCCAAGTGCCCATCACCTAGAATGGTTAAAGAAGATGTGTTTTTGGGGGCCGAGGATTTAGCTCAGCTGCATAAGCGCCTGCCTGGAAAGCACAAGGTCATGAGTTCAATACTGGTACCAAAAAAAAAAAAAAAAAGAAGATGTGTTTTTTTTATACAAAGGAGTACTACATTTTGCCATTAAGAAAGATACACTGGAGACATTTCTAGGAAAATGGATGCACCTTGAGTCCCTACTCTTAAGTGAAACAAACTGGACACACACATGTAAATACCACACTGCATCTCTGATGTGAGAGACTCAAAGTGTAAATAAGATCTGAATGTATAATAGGTATTTTGAAATAAGAAGAAAATGTTCAAATGGAGAGGGGAACAACGGAGAGGGGAAGGGAAAGGGAGAAGTTAAAAAAGTTAAAAAAGTAATACATGTAAACAGAGCTTTTGTAAATGTGGGAGGAAGGAGGGTCAAAGGGAAGGTGGGGAAATGGGGAAAAAGTCGGATCATATAGAGGTATAAATTCTCTATGATGAATGTGATCATTACGTACATCTAAAATGTACCAATAAAATCTGATTAAAAAACAAGAAATGTTCAACACAAATGAAACAGACACAGCATACAAAATATGTAGGTTAAGGAAAAAGTAGTACAAATTTTGTAACATAAATAAATATATCCCCCAAAGCAGAAATATCTTGAATAAAACTAACATTGCACCTCAAAGAATTACAAAACAAGATCTAAACATGAAATCAGTAGAGGAAAAAAATGATAAAGATGAATACATAATTAAATGAAATAAATCAAAAAACAAAAAGATCAATGAAAGAAATAATTGGTTTTGAAAAATGCACAAAATTCACAAATTGTTAGCTAAACTAAGAAAAAAACAATTTTCAAAATCAGAAATATAGATAGAAACATAATACCATTGAAATATAAAGGTTCATAAGAGATTGTTACAAATGCTGGTAAATTAGAAAACACAGCAAAAATAAATAAATTCCTGGACACATACAGTATGCCAGTATTGAGTTTCAAAGAAACACAAAACAAGATCAAATAATAAGTATCAATACTGAATCAGTCTTAACAAGTTTCCCACAAAGAAAAGCTTGAACTTGATAATATAACTGCTGAATTCTAACAAATGTTTAAAAAGAATCAATACCAATCCTTTCCAAACTATTCTAAAACCCTAAGATAAACAAATTCTAAATTCATTATGCAAGAGGAGCATCCTCCATACCGAAACTAGACCAAACATTACAAGTTAATACTCATGATAAAAAAGATGTAACTCCAACAAAATGATAGCAAACCAAAACCAACAGCAGATAAGAAAGAGCATTTGCCATGACCAAGCGTGATCATCAGAGGGGCTTTACCATGACTCACCAAGCACGAATCAATACACATGATCTGTCACATTAACAGAATCAAGGGCAGAAACCACACAGTCATTTCAACAGACACAAAAAGCATCTGATGACTCAACATGGCTGAATAAAGAAGTACTCACACTGGAGCTTCTCAGAGAAAGTCAACTAACATCCCATTAATTGGAAGAAAGAGGGGCACACGGCCTGATACCAAAATTAATTTGAAATAACGAATTTGTAGATCAAACAAAACATAAGCACACGACTTCACATACCAGGGCGACAGACTACTCCCTTCCTGCCTGGTTGCCAGGTGTTTTCTTTTATGTTCTTTTTCTTTGTCTTTCTCTCCTGAGTATCATAACTGCTAACTGAAACCTCTAGTGACAAGGTTAGGGACTGGCCACAGCACTGAGGACTGCTAATGAAACATTCTGATAGAATTTGAGGGGAGAATAATGATTTCCACAGGCTGGAGAAGCAATGGCAAGAGAATGGTCAACAGGACACATTGTGTCAACCTGAGAAGTCTGGAAGCTTAACTAAATAACTTAGCACTTCCACATCCTGGGGTGTAAAGGACATACCTTTAAGGCTCTAGGATGTTCACTGTATCAACTTGAGAAGTTTGCAAGTTTAACCAAAGAGTTTAACTAAGTGATTCAGCAGAGGGCCAGGACCCTCCCTTTGTAAATATCATGAAGCCTGTGCAAGAGAAGGGCATGCAGATGGTGTAGGTGGGTAGCCTGCTTACAGTATAAGGGAGGAAGAGGCTTGCTACCCCTCTTTTGTTCTTTCTGCTTTCCTGCATTCTGCTGCCTTGAAGTGTTGTTCCCATGCCATGCCACCTTTCCTTGGAGCCAACTGACCATGGATTGAAAACTCCACAAACCATGGCAAAATAAACCTTTCTTTCCTTAATTTTTGGTGTTTGGTATTTTGTCACAGCAACAAAAGAAAAATAACACAGAATTTGGTACCAGAGATTTGGGGTCATTGCTATGAGTGTTCCTGACTATGTGGTTCCAGAGCCTTTGGAAATGGCTTGTGGGGAGAGTTTGGAAGGTTCAGAGGTGTTGCCTAAAAGTATAGCACTGGAATGCCTTAGGCTGTTCTATATGGCAGATTCTGGTCAGAGCTCAGAAGATCAGAAAGCTTACAGAAATCCTGCCAGAAAAGACCACGGTTAGAAGGTTTCTTCTGGGAAGAGGGACTGCAATGTTTGTTTGACTCCAGGTGTGTGTTATGGCTTGGCAGAAAGTCTGTCTGCATTTTGCTCCTGTCTAGAGACTTCCCTGAGATTGACATTAGGGGCAGCAGATTAATAAATGTGGCCGAAGAAATTTCAAAGTAGCTGTATGTTGAGGCTGTGGCATCGTTATTGTTGGAAGCTTTTTGTCAGATTTATGTTGCAAATCAAAAGCAAACAGCCCAGCAAGATGATTTAAAACATTGTAAGTTTGGCTAGAAAGGAAGCTCCAGTAAAGCTATGGACTGCAAAGATAAGAGCTGAGGAAATCCTGATTGCTGAGAAGGAACAGGAGAATAGAAAAGATGGCCTAAAGGCATCACAAAAAGCAACTCTCCAATCTCTGCAGTCGCTTTGAGGAGAAAGTTCAGAGCACCGCATTCCAGAATGGCACCAAGTTCCAGAATGGTGGCAGCATTAAAAATTTGTTCCTCAGAATTGGATTCAGAGTGCCCAGTGATCCAGGCACTTGACCCCTACAACCAAGAAAAAGGAAAGCCTGGCTACTGCTCCAGCTGGCAGCAGGCATTGGAATCATCTATGTAGTGCTGATTTCAGGTGTAGGAGGTACGCAAGAGTTACGGGGTTAAAAAAGGCTTCCACCTCAATTTCACAAGGCTTGAGAAGCCAGCAGAGTACTCCTGAGAGGGCAGTGTGTGAAGCTGTGAGTATGAAGCCAAAGGTACAGTGGAGTTTGCAGAAGTTGGCAGAAGCCAGGAACATGGATTATTTAAGGAAAGTTGTAAGGAGGGAGCAGCATGGGCCTAAGAGAGGAGCCATGGGAGCTACAACCACCAGAACTGCCATAAGGGTAGACCCATGCAACTTTTTTGGAGCTGACAACTTGTTAGATTGCCTTAGATGCTGTAGTGGGAACTACAAGACTTAATGTTTGCCCTACTGGATTTTGGACTTGCTTTGGTCACAATCCTTTGTATCCTCCTGTTTGTAACTTTTGGGATGAAAATGTTTATCTTCTGCCATTGAATTTTCAAAGTTATTTTCATTTGTACAGGCTTTCAGCTATGAGTTTGCCTTACATTTGGGAGAAGACTTGAGAGTTAGACTTTTCAGCAACAATGAAACTCTTAGGTCTCTGGAAACTCTTACCGAGGGACTAAACAGATGTGCATAAAGGGATTTGCATTAATTTTTAGGGGCCAGGGGAGAAATGTTATAGTTCTAAAGTCATATAATACTGATAGAGGTAATACTGGTTCTTAAGGATTGCTACATCTGTGTTACAATGTTCAAGTTGTGAAGTATTGATAATAGGCATGTCTTTGTATCTGGAAACCAGTTTTAAAAATGTGCCTGGTTGCAAATTTGACAAGGGGTGGATTTCAATGGTCAATATATTGTGTCAACTTGAGAAGTCTTGAAGCTTAACTAAGTAACTCAGCAGTTCTACATCCTAGGGTGTAAAGGACATGCCTTTAACACCCTAAGATGTTCACTGTGTCAACTTGAGAAGTTTAACTAAGTAATTCAGTGCAGGGCCAGGGTCCTGAGCTTGTGCAAGAGGAGGGCACAGAGATGGTGTGGGTGGATAGCCTGCTTACAACATAAGGGGGAAAAGAGGCTTGTTACTCTTTTTGTTCTTGTTGCATTTACTCTTTTGCTACCTTGAAGTGTTGCCCCTGTGCATGCCACCATGCTGCCTTGTAGCTAGCTAATTATGGACTGAAACCTCCACAAACTGTGGACTAAAAAATCCTTTCCTTCCTTAACTTTGGGTGTCAGGTATTTCGTCCCAGCAATGAGAAAAAAGTAACCAAGCCACTTGGCAAGGGATGAGAAGAGGTTGGTCAACAGGTAGAAATTTTCAGAGAGATAGGAGTAAGCTCTGGAGTTTTGTTGTACAATGCAGTCACTAAAGTCAATAATAATGTATTTCAGGCAAGTGTGGTGATGCACACCTGTGACTTCAGTGCTGTGGGAGGCTAGACCTACCTCAAATAAAAAAAATAGAAAGTTCTAGTGATATAGCTCAAGGCTCTCAGGGTTTAATCTCCCATAATATAAAAAACAAACACTAAACAAAAAAACTATACCATCAAAATGGCCACAACAACATTTTCAGTATTTCACCACAAAGACAGATAAAAAAGCTGAGATGACAGAAATGCTAACTACCCTGATTTGATCACTACATAGCACAGAAATACTAGTCTGCCCCAAAACTTTGAAAAATTATGACCTGTCAATTAAGGCAGATAGTTTTTGAACACAGAATATAAGAATAAAAATGGAAAACGTTTTCTTCTTTAAAAAGCAAGCAGGAGACAGAAAACGGATGTAAAACATATACCTCATAAAGGTCTCATCTTCAACTCTATAACACAAACTCCCAAAAACTATAGATAAAACCACCTGAATATTTGGTCAAGTCCTTCATTAATAGTTTTGTTTTATCTTTTTCCTGTCCTGGACATCGAATCCAGGAATTTCATGATGAGCTACATCCTTGGCCCTCTTTATTTTACTTTATTTTTTGTTTTGAGACAAGGTCTCACTAAGTCTCTCAGTTGCCCAGGCTGGGCTTGAACTTACGACTTTTCTGATTCACTCCCAGAAAGCTAAGGTTACAGGTATGTGCCTTCAGGCCTGGCCATTAGAGATTTATGAATGGCTAAAAACCAAATTAAAAGAGGTTCAACACTGGTAGAAAAGAAATGCAAACTAAAACTGATAAAAAGGTCACCAGACAACAGTCAAAATGTTTTACAATAATAACTTAGTGCATACTGCTGATCAAAGAACAATCAGAACACTGTTTACAAGCATAAAAATCAGCACAGCCAGTCTGAAAACTTTTGGGAATTACATATAAAAAGTCACCGGAAAACCAGGCAAATCCACAAAAAAAAAAAAAGGAAAATATATGGTTACACAAAGACCCGTATGTGAATGTTCACAGTAGCTTTACTTGTAATAGCGCTGAAAACTCCTATGTCTATCAAGTATTAAAGATACCAAATTGTGGTTATACTCATCACAAAGAGCACACACCATTAAAAATAAACCACTATTTTGCATAAACTGCAAATGAGTCTCAAGAGCATTATGCTAAGTGAAAGAAGACAGACAAGAGAGTACATAGTTTACAGTTCAATTTCTAAGACATGAGAGCAAAGGAATATCAGAATAGAAAGCAGATCACTGAGTGGCCGAGTCACAGGTAGTGACTGGGGAACTTAGCAAGACCATATCTCAAATAAAAAAATAGAAAGGATGCCCCAAGGAGAAGATTCACTGGAAAGACTACACAGAGCCTTCTGGAGGTAAAAGAAATACCCAGTTCTTTGATTTTGATGGTTGTAACCAAAGGCATACATTTTCTAAAACTCACTGGTTTGTACACTGAAAGGCACTTACTTTTAATTTCTATTAAACATACCACAACAGAAACGATCAGTATTAAAACAGCAAAACAGAAACAACAGAACTGTACTGAGGAGGAGCCCGCACAGCTCTGCTCACCCACGGAGGCAAGGTGGCCGTAGATCTCCAGCATCACGTCTCTGTACAGGGTCCTCTGAGCAGGGCCCATGCACTGCCACTCCTCCTGGCTGAACTCCACAGTCACGTCCTCCAGGGACACGGATGCCTGTAACACACATTTCTCATCCATCTCATTGTTCAATCGGAGACAGGAAAATATTACTGGAATTCTTACCATGTTCACTGCTGGGAGATTACAATAAAATGCTACAAAAGAATGCTCCTAATTCAGTCTTAGTCTTTGGAGACACAAAACGAAGACAGATATTTACATGCTCTGAATAATTTATTTTTTATATCATACACAAGCATTGTCATTTAGCCTATGGAGGAAGCTTAACTAATACCTTGTTTTCCTAGGGGGAATTATTAGAAATAGGATTTCAGTATAGATTTCTCAAACATACACTGCAACCTAGAGACCACTGCTGGGTTAGTGAAAGCCTGCATATCACACACCTCTGCAGGAGGAGCACATCACAACAGGCAAAGTTTGTTCAGTGTGGCAGCTCTGTGGTGAAAGACTACGCTCTGCAGTTGAGCATGTTTAACAGCAGTGCTCCTGGTTGCTGCCCTTTAGATGCTAGTAACATGTTCCATTGTGACCTGCAAAACCATCTCTGAAGGCTCTCAGGTGTCTCTTAGGGACCCCATTAGGAGCCACTGTTCTGTACGACATCCAGTGGGCGTCAGCAGCAAAACCAAACATCTGTGTATTAAGGTGCAGCAATGGAGAGGAACAGGAAGCTCCGCCTTGCAGGAAACAAATTCTAGCAATCGCTTTCCAGTGTGGCCAAACACAAGGAAGCCGTGTGAGCAGCTGGGAAGCTACTGCACCCACAGGGAGACGGGAAAGTAAGTGAGGAAGGGGCTGGGCACAGGGGCACAGCAAGCACTCTTGGTATGCATTCAAAACACTTGTGGGGTAGAAGGACAAACTCATCCACCCCACTTTTGGCTTCATTATTTTGGAGCAAAAAAAAAAAAGAGATTTAAAATGCAAACATCTAGGAAACAGTAGTCATTAAGATGGTCACCCAAGTCATCGCAGAAGAAGACCTTGCTAAGACAGGACAAAGAAAGTGTAGCAGTATAGAAGTGTAGAATTCAAGGGAGTAGCAATACTTAAGAGTGGCAGAAAAGTAGACATGAAGGCAAAGAATTTCTAAACAACAGAAAGAAAAATCAGACAGACTACTGGAAATTAAGAGAAAAGGGAAATGCAAATATGGATTCTTCCACTTCGAGATAACATACATTTCTATGCCCTTGCTCCTGAAACACATTTAGTTCAAATATAACACCCACTGTAAACGGGAAATGACAGAGGAATAGAGGCAAGTTTCTCAGAAAAAGAAAACGCAAACAGGTAACCAGAGAGAATCTACTTACCCCGGTTGTCTATGTGGACCTAACGGCAAACTTCAGAGTTTATGGTTAAACTGTATTTACCCTCAAAAGTGATTTGATCTATTTTGATTTTCTCCTTTTCCATTTAATGCATATATCCTCCAAGCTGTGGGGAATAAAGAGAACTCACCTGAGTTGTATTCATCTTCTGCGGCTCCTTGGCACAGGGTAGAGGGCTGTGAAAGCTCTCCTGTTGGGGACAGAAAAAGGTCTGGGTCATGAGATCCATTTGCCTTGCAGTTCCTACATTGACTTCCCCAAGTCTCACCACATAATCTGGGGAGCCGGCCCACCTAAGGAATACAGACTTTCAGGCCTTGAAAAGGATGAGATGATTTGGGTACAGATGGCACCTCCTGCCCCTATGCAACACAGAAATAATCATGGGGGAGAAACCTGTGGTTTTTAAGTTAAATGAATATAAACTTCTCGGACTTACTTAATCATGCACATATGCTAACAAAGATAAAGAAATAAAAACAGGATTAGTTCCAGTAAGATATATTAAATCATTAAGCACTATTCTCATTAAAATTAACTTTGCAGAAAAATATTCCATGTGAATCATTCATCTGTTTCTCTTGGTGTACTGTTTACGCCTTGGTACAATCCACAGAAAGCCTAAGAAAAGAGATGAGAGGCTTTAAGGCAATTTCTCAAAAAGCCTTGGGGATAAGATGCTCTTGGTGACTCAGCTGCCAGAGTGAAGTCATTGTGCTTTCCTGCTGATGTTGTCACTACCCATGTATCCCTCAGAAGTCCCTGAACTTTCACATCCAACATTTTTCAAGTTTTCAGAGTCAGAAATAGGTAACTTTGGAGAACCCTACATGTATCAACATCCTGGGACTCTGTGAAGACAGCATGAAATCCCCAAGTGCCATGCAGTGATGGACACTTGGAGAGCAGTGCAGTGGGCTGCCTGGCAACAGCAGAGTGACGGTCCCCAACCCCTGCTCGACCCTCACCTGCACGCCTGCCTCAAAGCCCCGTGATGAAGTGGTCTTTCCTGGGCAACCAGTCACCAAGCCTCCCCAGATAACCTTGCTAATCTCAAAACAAGCCTGAAATCTCTACCGCTGCAGTCTGTGGTGGCTTCTGGAGATGGCACTGTCACCACATCTAGCTCATTCTGGGCAGAAAGAGCAACAGCAGCTTCCAACCACGCAAGTTCCGGCTCTTCTCTCTGCTGCTTTCTGGGCTTTTCTCTCTGCACCGGATGTCAGACAGAAGTCTAAGTCCACAGAAGTGTTCTCTTCCAACCACAGCTCCTTGCATAAAAGACCCTGCTTCCTACTTCACAAGAACTGGCTGCTTTGTTTCAAAGAGCTGGGACCTGGACCTGAAAAACAAATTCATTTTAGGGGTAAACACTTGGCTCCTGGAGTTCATTACAAAGTCAGGCCCAAGTCAGCCTGAGGCAGCGCAGGAGCGAAGAATCTGAGTCAAGAGATCTACAGTTAAGAGGTCTGAGTCCGTGTCCAGGGATCCGAGGAGACCCTAGTTATCCCCGTGTGTATGTGACACACATTAAGTCCACACCTTCAGTCCCTTCCCATTCTATCCCAGTGGGACAGGTCGCTCAGCGTTATGAGGGATACAATAGTGTTTTAGGCAGGTGTAATTAGTACCTGCGACAGGAAACAAATCACACCTGACCTTGAATCGGAGCTCCCTCACACTGGCTTGTGACCTGAGCACACCTGTCCACCAACCTGAGCCCCGCTGTTCTTTTTAGCGCAAATGGATAAGCCAACTTCATAGAGTAATGTGAGGTGCACGCAACTGAAAGAGCAAGGCGTCTTCTATACACACCAGCAGGTGTCACGTCTTCAGGAGTTGGTAACCCGCCCCTGGCTGGCGGCTCCACAGGGGATGACATAGCTCAGCTTCAAAACCAGCCCACGCAATAGTCATTATTAAAAACGTCATGAGAAGCCAGTCATGTCTCTGACTAGGTCATTTGCTTGCAATACCTGAGCTAGCATGGCTCTGGGTCTTCACGGGTCCACAACTGTATTGCACCTGCCCGAGGGGGAGGATCCCGGATCCCAGCCGGGTCCCGGCCCGCTCCGGGTTCGCTCCGAGGGAGGCGGGGCCGAATGCGCAACCGGGTCCCTCCGCCCACCAAGGGCGCCAAGAGCGCAGAGCATTCGCCGAGGCCGGGTGCGGAGGAAGCCCAGGAGCTCGCCGGTCCTTCCCCGCGGCACGAGCAGGCCCCTGCCGGCCGCACCCCGCGCTCTCACCTAGGTGCGCAACCGGTACTGCCCGAGCCCAGCAGCGCCTTCAGCAGCTCCTCTAGCACGCTATCCCTCTGGGGGCGGAGCCACAGCCCAACGCATGCGCAGCAGGAGACCCGAGAGCCCGCTCCGGACTCCACTTCCCAGGAGGCACTGCGCGCGCGGGGGGGGTCTCCGTCCCCAGCACCTTGGAAGGGGTGGGAAGAAGTGGGTCCCGCCCCGAGTCCCAGAGGCCTGAGGCTGCGGTGCACCTTAACTACACCGCCAGAGCAGAGGAGCTCTTGACCGTTTCATGTTTACCATCAGCCTTGAATATTAAGGAAAATGATCGTGATTTCCGTTAAGTCTGGAAAAATAATGGAGATACTTGGGAAATTTTTAACTGTATGATGTGGTACTGAAAAACCACATCAATTCCCATTTGATCTAGAAAAACCACAGAATTTTACATCAAGAAAACAAAACGTCAATTAAAAAACCCACTGGGAAAATAAACAACATTAAATATCTTTTTTAAAACCCCACTGATTCACAGCTGCTCAATCAATTCCCCTCCTTGATCCAGTTCACAGCTCAGAACTTGTTCACTGAAGGTCCGTTTGAGAACTGACCCAAGAACAGGACTGAACATTTATATGGCTACTTTTTCTCCACCGTATACCTCTGAAGGGAAGATGCAATCGGAGACTTAAAGAATAGGGAGCAGAAGAGCTCAAAACAGAACAAAAATTCTGAGGGTGAAATAGAAGACAGCAGTTAAGAAATTTTTACAAAGTATACACAATGTACAGTCAGTCAAGAAAAAGAGAATAAAGATAACAGGTAAAATTAGTGCAGAAGCCTTGACACCTGACGAATGAGCCTGCCAAACGGAGAAACGAGTAGGAGGAGCGTGTGGGAGGAGATCATCCAAAAACAGCCTAGGACAATTCCATACATTCCAAGGATGTAACTCTCTGACTGAAGCCCAGGCCAGGGTATGTAATGAAACACAAGAAGATGTTAGACCCTTCTAGGAAGAACAAAGAGATCACATAGCAAGCTGGTCATCAGGCTTTTACTAGAATTTGTTAAAGCAGCAACAGGGAGTTAAAAGGCAATGGAGAGGACCCGGGGCTTTTTCTTTTTTAAAAAAATTCCTTTTTATTTGTTTTTGGTTTTGTTTTTTATGGACAGCATCTTTGTAAATTTCCCTGGCTAGCTCTGAACTTGTGATCCTCATGCTTCAGCCTCCAGGAGCACAGGGAGCCTGGCTGACCCAATTCTTTCTAATATGGAATCCCCTGTTTACCAATAGATTGACCAAACTGAAGTGTCATTTGCATTTCAAGCATTCTAGTCCTTGAAAAAGTATCTCCTTTATCTCTGTCATAGGGAACTTCTGGGTGAGTGCTCTTTTCAAATGAGATAGGAAATCAAGAAAGGTAGACACAGAGTCCCAGCAAAGTATCTAGGTTACCAAGAGACCAGTTCAAACTGTCCTCAATCCACATTAAAATATTTTCACTTATCATCAAGTTAAGAAGAAACATAAGCAATTTGCAGTAAGACATTTGTATAAATCAAAATGAGCATAGTTTTTAAAACTTTTGAGACATTTTTTCTTATCGTTTTACTTGCTTTCATGAAATAACACCAAAAATAAGCCTTTTCATCTGGAGAGGTGGAAAACTTAATCAGCTGGGCCTCTAAAGTTTGGTTATTTTTTAAATTTTGGGAATCCACATCCATGAAATTAAGAATCAAAGTAACCTGAGCAGGGCTGGATTCTGAGGTCCACAGTCTCTTCCTCATCCTGTTGTGGCCCTGCCTCTCATTCTATGCTGCTGTGTACTATAGTTACTAGTCCACTAAGCAACCCTTTAATTTTTCTGGAAAGTTATTTTCCTATGGTGCCTTGCTCAGGAACTGTTTGATAAAATAATGCATGAGTGCATGATCTTTGTGAGTTTACAGTGTGCTAGGAGAGAAATTCTTGGTGAGCAATGTTTATGAATCCTGTTTCATGATCATCATATAAGCCTGGGCCAGGACCCTGTCCTCATTTGCTATTCTTCTGGTTGGCTAATGTATTTTAATAATGATCACATCATACACTCAACGGTTGTGTTCCTGCACTTGAGTTGCCAACAGGCCCCACAAAAAGGCTTCAAGGAAGAGGACAACCATCAGCACAGTAAGCACTTGGTCAGACAAAGCCTTGCAGGAAAAAAAAAAAAAGGCTATTGTGAAAAAAAGTGAAAAGCTGGGGGTTTAGCTCAGCGGCATAAGCGCCTGCCTTGAAAGCAGACAGTCGTGAGTTCAATCCCCGGTACCAATAAAAAGGAAAAAGACAAAAAAAAAAAGTAAAAAGATAAAGGATATTCATTACTTTAAAATGCTATAAAATGTATAAAATAAATGTTAAACTATCCTTCCACATAAAATACAATTTCATCCAGAAGGCTGGGAAAGTGCATGATTCCTAGCATTAACAGCAGTTCATAATATACTTCATTGTGAGGTATCCCTGACCTCCTCACTTTCCCTAATCATGAAAGAGTTTGCTTTCTGCTTGTTCCATGAGTGCAAATCACTGGAATGTGTGCCGGAAATAAACTGTGTCTTCGAAAGACTGATTAGCCATGCACGGTGGCACAGGCCTGCAACTGCAACAGCTGGGAGGCTGAGGCAAGAAAACTGCTAGTTCAAGGGCACCCAGGACTTCACAGCCTGAACTTCAGAGCAGCAGCATTCTCCAAAACTGCTCTGTCCTCTCAAAGACTTCAAGTCCGGGACCTCTCTGCCCCTAATTAGCTCAGTGACCTACTCTCTCTAAGCTGAAATTTCCTCAGGCCATGGGGGTTACACACTCAAAGCCTCAGGGGCAGCACGGGAAATTCAAATAATGGTGAGAGGCAACAAAGGATGGATCAAATACAAAAACACAGTCCGAATCTCCAGGTGTCAAAATTCAGTGGTTTATACTTGCTTTTAAAGACTCTGCCTAATTTGCTGTTTTCCTGTAATTTGTGGCTTCCTAAAATAAAATCTAAAATTCCATTAATGTAACATTCTTTGGCTCTGTGATAACACACATTAGAAAATCAAGTGCTGTTACCATTTGACAGAAACTGGAGGTGACACACAGGCTTTGTAAAACAAACACTGTTCTCACACTTGTATTTGCCAACTTGCAAGGTTTAACTGGAATCTAACCATGAGGAAACAGACAAACAGAAGAGGTTGCTGGACAATCAGTCTTCTTACACATTACTGTCAAGCCTGGCTTGATGGTGCCAGCCTACATACACCCCACCCCTGAATTTGGGAGGCTGAAGCAGGAGGAGAGCAAATTTCAGTGCTGCCTGGACAATTCAGAAAGACCCCGTCAATCAATCTTTAAAAAAAGGAAAAGAAAATGAAAAGGGTTGGGCTGTATCTCAGTGCTATTTTTTTAAAAAGTGAATACCATAAAAAATTAAGCCAAGGATAGTGGCCCAATATAAAAGAGACTAAAGTCATAATAACCAAATTCATGCTCCTGAACACAGCAGGACTGAATTCTGAATAAAACGACAATAGAAAAAATCTGACAAGGAACTACATGTCGGATAATCGTATTGTGTAACATTACATATCTTGGGTATTCTTAACATCCAAAACTCAGTGTTAAGTGGTTTGCAAAAATGGTGCACATGGTGCAAATCAAAGGTCACCAAAGAGTAACTGCTGGATTCAGGTGAACCATACATGTGTTTTGTTTTATTAATTTTTAATTTTAAAAAACCAGCCAAGTAAAAATATTAAATGTTCAAACTTGCAAATTCTCAATGGCTAATAAATTTTAAATGCCATTAAATTATCAAACATTTGTAAAACAGAACATATTTTACAAAGCTTAAGGAACAAAAAGGTTCATTTAAGTACCTGATGATTCAAGAAAATTTAGAAGTACTCAACCTATCAGCACAGTCATCAAAAAGCACGTTTTTCACCAGCCCCTTACCAGAGCAATGGGAATGTGGGACCTACTGGCCTCTGCCTGGGCCAAGACTGCCTGAGACCTCAATGGGTCGCCTTCCTTCCTCTGCATGCTTCCAGCTCCAGGAGTCAGAAACCTCATCAGCCCCGAGTCCATCCTCGCTGGCTGCCTACATACACCCCCATGCCTGAATTTGGGAGGCTGGTCCTGTCCTCCACTCTCGTGCCAGGGCTATAGGGTAGCTTTGTAAAGCGGACCCCTTCTTCCACCCTTGCTCCTTCACCCACTGCCCTGTGGCCAGAGGGACGGGGCTCAACACACGCCAGAGCCTGTTACTCCTCTGGCCTCCTTTCCTTGGCTCCTATGCATCTGATCACATCATATACATCCAGCTAGGTCTTACAAACTCCCGATCCCCTTGGTACCTACCTTCTATGATTTTCTAGAGGATTTTAAACAACTTTACAATTCATTTTAATTATTGCTGTCAATGTAAATGGCTTATCCCATTCTCACCTTATTATAAATAAGCATTCAACAAAATTGTTAGTGGCATGGAGCAAGTATCTCTTCTGACACTAATGGCTTTTTCCTGCTCTGTCGTTTAAAAAGAGCAAAACGCAATACGGAAAGAAATGTTGATAAAAATGGCCCCATGTCTTCAACAAAGAAATGGCATGGGTAAAGGTGAAAACTACATGCCACAGAGATTAAAAGAAAAATCTGAAATATACAAAAGGAGGAGTAAATTTTTGATTTACAATAAAATAAACTGGAAAAATAATTTTGAGTCTATCTTGGAACTAATATGAAATGCCTCTATGGCCTCTGTGGCTGGGCGTGGTGGTGCCAGCACTCAGGAGGCTGAGGTGAAAACACTGCTGAGTTCAAGCTATCCAGGGAAACATAGTGAGTTCAGGGAATGCCTGAACTCCACAGCAAGACCTTGTCTTAATAAATAAATAAACAAACAAATAAATACTAAAATGCTGCTAGATGACCCTAGACAAGGACCAACACAGTTGCTTCATTGATT